CCAAGAACTACCAGCAGCAGCTGGACAATAAGCCCGCTGGTTCAAAGTATTGGTCTGCTGTCGGTTTTGGTGGTGCCCTGGTTGGTTTCATTCAGATCTGCGCAACGCTCTGTGAGTGGATGTATGTGCCTCGCCGGTGGGCAGGTGCTCAGCATCTCAGCAAGCGTCTGATGTTCCTCATTGCCGTCTTCATTGTCAATCTTGCTCCTGGTGTTGTGGTCTTCGGCTTCAACAACGTTCTCAGTGAGACAATTTGCCTGATCATTGGTATCGTCCACTTCTTCATTGCCCTGGCCACGTTCTTCTTCTTCTCTGTCATGCCTCTTGGAGGTCTGTTTGGCAGTTACCTGAAGAAGCACGGCCGTCAATATGTGGCCAGTCAAACATTCACAGCGAGCTACCCACGCTTGAATGGCAATGACATGTGGATGTCCTATGGTCTGTGGATCTGTGTTTTCGGTGCGAAGCTGGTCGAGTCCTACTTCTTCCTGACCCTGTCATTGAAGGATCCCATGCGCATCTTGTCCCCGATGCGTATCCATCAGTGTGCTGGTGTGACCTACATCCCCAACGTGCTTTGCCACGCTCAGCCTCAGATTCTTCTCGGTCTGATGATGTTCATGGATTTGACTCTCTTCTTCCTGGATAGTTACTTGTGGTACGTCATTTGTAACACCATCTTCTCGGTGGCGCGGTCCTTCTACCTCGGTGTCTCCATCTGGTCGCCCTGGAGAAATATCTTCTCTCGCCTACCGAAGCGTATCTACTCCAAGGTGTTGGCTACGACCGACATGGAGATCAAGTACAAGCCTAAGGTGCTCATCTCCCAAGTTTGGAACGCCATCATCATCTCCATGTACCGTGAGCATTTGCTGGCGATTGATCACGTCCAGAAGTTGCTTTACCACCAGGTTCCCTCCGAACAAGAGGGCAAGCGTACGCTGCGGGCTCCTACCTTCTTCGTTTCCCAGGAAGATCAGTCCTTCAAGACTGAGTTCTTCCCCGCAGGTAGTGAGGCTGAGCGTCGTATCTCCTTCTTTGCCCAATCTGTCGCCACTCCCATGCCTGAGCCTCTCCCGGTTGACAACATGCCCACTTTCACCGTCCTTATCCCCCACTACGGCGAGAAGATTCTGCTGTCGCTGCGTGAAATTATCCGTGAGGATGAGCCGTACTCTCGTGTTACTCTGCTGGAATACCTGAAACAGCTTCATCCCCACGAGTGGGACTGCTTCGTCAAGGACACCAAGATTCTGGCTGATGAGACCTCGCAATTCAACGGCGAACCTGAGAAGAACGAGAAGGATGCGCAGAAGAGCAAGATCGATGACCTTCCCTTCTACTGCATCGGTTTCAAGTCTGCTGCTCCCGAATACACGCTCCGTACCCGTATCTGGTCCTCCCTTCGCTCTCAGACCCTGTACAGAACCATTTCCGGTTTCATGAACTACAGCAGGGCTATCAAGCTGCTTTACCGCGTTGAGAACCCCGAGGTTGTCCAGATGTTTGGTGGTAACTCCGAGAAGCTCGAACGTGAACTTGAGAGGATGGCTCGTCGCAAGTTCAAGATCTGTGTCTCCATGCAGCGTTATGCCAAGTTCAACAAGGAAGAGCGTGAAAACACCGAGTTCCTTCTGCGTGCCTACCCTGATCTCCAGATCGCTTACCTTGACGAGGAGCCGCCAGCTAACGAGGGTGAGGAGCCCCGCTTGTACTCGGCTTTGATTGATGGACACTGCGAGCTCCTTGACAACGGAATGCGCAAGCCCAAGTTCCGCATCCAGCTCTCCGGAAACCCTATCCTCGGTGATGGCAAGTCCGATAACCAGAACCACTCTATCATCTTCTACCGCGGTGAATACATCCAGGTCATTGACGCTAACCAGGATAACTACCTGGAGGAGTGTCTCAAGATCCGTAGTGTTCTTGCTGAGTTCGAAGAACTTACCACTGACAATGTCTCGCCCTACACCCCTGGTATTGCCTCCGAGGCTGAGACCCCCGTCGCCATTCTCGGTGCTCGTGAATACATTTTCTCCGAGAATGTTGGTGTTCTTGGTGACGTTGCTGCCAGTAAGGAACAGACGTTCGGTACCCTGTTTGCTCGTACTCTTGCGCAGATTGGTGGAAAGCTGCACTATGGTCACCCTGATTTCCTGAACGGTATCTTCATGACTACGCGTGGTGGTATCTCCAAGGCTCAAAAGGGTCTCCACCTGAACGAGGATATTTATGCTGGTATGACTGCACTGTGCCGTGGTGGACGCATCAAGCACTGCGAGTACTTCCAGTGCGGTAAGGGTCGTGATTTGGGTTTCGGCTCCATTCTGAACTTCACAACCAAGATTGGTACTGGTATGGGTGAGCAGATGCTGTCCAGAGAGTACTACTACCTCGGAACACAGCTGCCTCTCGACCGTTTCCTGTCCTTCTACTATGCTCACCCTGGTTTCCATCTTAACAACATGTTCATTATGTTGTCTGTGCAGATGTTCATGATTGTCCTGATCAACCTTGGTGCCCTGAAGCACGAGACTATCACCTGCCGTTACAACTCCAACCTGCCCATTACTGACCCTCTGCGTCCCACCTACTGTGCGGATCTCACTCCCATTATCGGCTGGGTGAACCGCTGTGTCGTCTCCATCTTCATTGTGTTCTTCATCTCCTTCGTTCCCCTGGCTGTCCAGGAACTGACTGAGAGAGGTCTTTGGCGCATGGCTACTCGTTTGGCCAAGCACTTTGGTTCTTTCTCTTTCATGTTCGAGGTGTTCGTCTGCCAGATCTATGCCAACGCTGTCCACCAGAACTTGTCCTTCGGTGGTGCTCGCTACATTGGTACTGGGCGTGGTTTCGCTACGGCTCGCATCCCATTCGGTGTCTTGTACTCTCGTTTCGCCGGACCGTCCATCTATGCCGGTGCTCGTTCCCTGCTCATGCTTCTGTTCGCGACATCCACTGTCTGGACGCCCGCCCTGATCTGGTTCTGGGTTTCTCTGCTTGCTCTCTGCATTTCGCCCTTCCTCTTCAACCCCCACCAGTTTGCCTGGCATGACTTCTTCATCGACTACCGCGATTACATCAGATGGCTGTCTCGTGGTAACTCGCGCTCGCATGCTTCCTCCTGGATTGCCTTCTGCCGCCTGTCTCGTACCCGTCTCACAGGTTACAAGCGCAAGCTTCTTGGTGTTCCTTCAGAGAAGGGATCCGGCGATGTTCCCAGGGCCAAGTTCACGAACATTTTCTTCAGTGAAATCATTGCCCCTCTCGTCCAAGTTGCTGTAACTCTGGTTCCTTACCTGTACATCAACTCGAGAACTGGTATCTCCAACGACAACGCGCGCGCATCCAATGCCGTGGTTCGTATTGCGATCGTCGCTTTCGGTCCCATTGGTGTCAACGCGGGTGTCTCGGGTATGTTCTTCGGTATGGCTTGCTGTATGGGTCCCATCTTCGGCATGTGCTGCAAGAAGTTCGGTGCTGTCCTCGCTGCCATTGCACACGCCATTGCGGTCATCGTTCTGCTTGTCATCTTCGAAGTCATGTTCTTCCTCGAGAGCTGGTCGTGGCCTCGCATGGTCCTGGGAATGATCGCTGCCGCTGCAATCCAGCGCTTCATCTACAAGCTGATCATCTCCCTCGCCCTGACAAGAGAGTTCAAGCATGACCAGTCGAACATCGCTTGGTGGACCGGAAAATGGTACAACATGGGTTGGCACTCGCTTTCCCAGCCTGGCAGAGAATTCCTCTGTAAGATTACCGAGCTCGGATACTTCTCTGGTGACTTCGTCCTGGGCCATCTTATCCTCTTCATCATGCTTCCTGCCCTCTGCATCCCCTATGTCGACAAGTTCCACTCCGTCATCCTTTTCTGGCTGAGGCCTAGGTACGTTCAGAATCCACTTCATTCCTACGTTTTCATCTATACTAACATTCAAACAGTCGTCAAATCCGCCCTCCCATCTACTCTTTGAAGCAGTCTAAGCTCCGCAAGAGAAGAGTTGTCCGCTTTGCGATCCTGTATTTCACTATGCTGGTTCTGTTCCTCATTCTTCTCATTGCTCCTCTGGTTGCCCGCGATGAAGGCATCAGCGTGAACCTCAACATCATGAGTCTTATGCAGCCCCTGGATACCGACAACAACGATACCATCTCCAGTTACACTGGTAACGGTCTTCCTGTCGGTTACTCCGCCTGGACCCCGTCCGCGGCGTCTGCATCTGCTTAGAGGTTGTTTTTGTCCTAAATTGTTTTTCAATACATTTTACCTGTCTTTCTTTTTCGGAAATGGAACATGGAAACGAGCTGTATAAAGTAACCAGCGTCTTGATGTCGCTGCCGAGTCTCATACCTTTGCCTTTTATTTTTCTTTTTCGTCTCCACCTTTTTTTCCCTTGACGAAACTGCGTGTATGCTCCTTCAGTTGCCAACATTAATGGGTTCAATCTCTTTCAACTGTTTTGTATTGTCAAGGTGTTGTTCTGTCCTTTATGTATGGTCACTAGACTTGCCAGCTTTTCTTGTATCGTCCCATTGCATCGGCTGCCTTTGATTTCCTTGGTGTTTATCTAGAGGGCTTCTTTGCCTCTAGTCCTGTTGACTATGAATTCAAAGAGTCTTGAGATTTTCAGATCCTAATTGTTCCAGTCCAACACCACTCTTACGTAGACGTATAGTACGTTTCCTTGACTCTGTAAATATTATAATTTGAGAATACCTGCATGTTCAGGGTCCTCTTGATGCTCAGTGCTTGATACGCTTCGTGAAACGAGCTGACCTGCAAGGAGCGCCAAGTCACGTGTTAGGGCCGCGCCCATCCCGGAAGTTGGACTTGCCGCGTTGCTTCGAACCTCCGGGAATGCCGCTGCCTTGACTTATTATTCAGTCGCTGATGCTGTCGAATCATTTATAGAGGGTCTTTCCTTCATTTCAACTTCAGACTCCGCTCATCTGCTACCTGGGTACTTGCGCCCTGAGCGCTAAGTGGATTTTCTCCCGTCATGGATATCCAGGAGACTCAGCGTCTCCTTTCGGAGTACCTCCATGAACTCGCCGACCTCTTCCATCGTCTACCCGGTTCAGCGATTTTTCTACGTTATGTGAAGTCTAGTTACCAGAACGACCCGATCCGCTCGGCTGTAGAACTCTTCCTCTTCTTGTTTGCGGTCCGCTACCTTCTCGCTCCGAAGTATTCGACTAAACCGGGTGTGGTTCAACTTTCGGAGGATGAGGTTGATGATTTGGTGGATGAGTGGACTCCGGAGCCGTTGGTGGGAAAGCCTACTCCACTGGAGGCGATGGAGGTTGATAAGCGGACGGTCATTGTTGGGTATGTATTGTCTTTCCTCATTTGTTTCCTGTCGGGCATGGTATGCTGACTGTTGGTGACTTGCAGCCCAGTTGGACCCAAGTCTAAGTTGAGCAACGGTCGGACGGTCGCCAATCTCGGTTCCTATAACTACTACAACTTTAACACGAACGAGTCGCTCAAGGAGAAGGCCATCCAGACTCTGCGAAACTACGGTGTCGGTCCTTGTGGTCCCCGCGGTTTCTATGGTACTCAGGATGTTCATATGAAGACGGAGGCTGATGTTGCCTCTTATCTCGGTACTGCATCCTGCATCATTTATGCGCAAGCCTTTTCGACAATCTCCAGTGTCATTCCTGCGTTCTCAAAGCGTGGTGATATCATTGTTGCGGACAAGGGTGTTAGCTTCGCTATTCGCAAGGGTATCCAGATCTCTCGCAGCATTGTTCGCTGGTATGAGCATAATGATATGGAAGACTTGGAGAGAGTCCTTGCAAAGGTTACCAAGGAACAAGCTAGGAAGCCTCTTACTAGGCGGTTCATTATCACCGAAGGTCTTTTTGAATCTTACGGCGACATGGTGAATTTGCCTAAGATTGTGAGTGCTTATCCTCATCATGGTTCTCCTGTGGATTTAGCTGACTAGGTTCCAGATCGAGCTCAAACTCAAGTACAAATTCCGTCTGATCCTCGATGAGACTTGGTCTTTTGGTGTTCTTGGGCGAACTGGCCGTGGTGTGACTGAGCACCAGAATGTCGATGCGGCGGAAGTTGATATGATTGTGGGCTCGCTGGCCGGCCCACTGATTGCAGGAGGTGGCTTCTGTGCTGGCTCGGAAGAGATCGTCCATCATCAGCGTATCTCGGCTGCTGCTTATACTTTCTCCGCGGCACTTCCCGCTCTTTTGTCTACCACTGCTAGTGCTACGATCAACCTTCTCCAGAACAGCCCCGAGACTGTGACGCAGCTGCGGGAGCATACCAAGGCCATGTGGGCCCAGTTGGACCCTCGCAGTGATTGGGTTTATTGCACCAGTTCCCCCGAGAACCCCATGATGATTCTGGTCCTCAAGCCTGAGGTGGTTGCTGCGAAGAAGCTGTCCCTTGACGACCAGCAATTCTTGCTCCAAGATATTGTTGACGAGGTGAGTGTTGCTTGGCAAAATTGGCTTATACGGAAAGATAACTGACTGATTTGGATACAGTGTCTCGCAAACGGTGTTCTTATCAGTCGCCTGAAGACTCTCCAGGATAACTTCGAACCGAAGCAGATTGTTCCTCCTGCCTTGAAGGTTTGCGTGACAATCGGATTGACGAGAAAGGAGATTGAAAAAGCAGGAACGACCATTCGCCACGCGATTACGAAAGTTCTGAGCAAAAGGAAGTAAATAATTCCCTTTTCCTTTCATTCTCGTATTTCAATTCCCGGCCTATCCTGAAAAGTGGCCATGAACATTAATGCTCCAATGACACGCCTCTTGTACCCTTCTTCTTTCATTCGTGCGGTTGCCCTTTTTGTTGGTGATATAGAACACCACCCTACACGATTTCTTGTATAACATATTACACCGTGGATTGATGCGACCTAGATGCGTTTCTTGAGGCGTGGTATGAGGTTGTTGAAGCCTCGGGTCTCTATCTTTACTGTGCAGATATTCTTATTTGCCCATATCGGCCATTATTTCTTTGCGTGCTTGGGCACAATGGACATTAATAGACATTACATTCTAATATTAATTTTGTGTTCTTGTCCAATCAATGCTTTTCGTGATTCACTTTGTGTCTTGGATCTCAAGGCGACGAAAGGGATGTACAGGGATATCCGCTTCACTGATGGTTCGAGTCATGGCAGGGGCAGAACACCAACCTAGGGCTCTGGAAGAGCACCAAGGGGCCACAGGTTACACCGTGGAATCGATCGGGGTTTCAATTTTGTGGCAAATGGCCTGGACGAGGCCGTGGCGCATTCTCGAGACCAAGGGATCTGCGCAGATACGAAATTAACATTCCATCCAAAACAACCCAGTTAAACATTTGTTTTCCTAGAAGCAGAATAGCGGCACTCCCTTGTCTTCACCCATGGCGCTCCAGAATGAAGGGCAGGTGTCTTCACTCTATGCCAGAGTGAATCGCCAGGAGATGCACTTGGCTGAACGGTGTCCTTGAACAAAATCCGCGTCTTCTGCTCTGTGTCTGACGGTTATTTCCTGGTGCGCTTGACGGTAGGATCTTTGCTTCAATCAACACGTGGATTGAACGTTAAGAGACTGATCTCAAAGTCAACTTTGTCAATACAGTAGCAACGGGTTTGCGTTACACCAGCAATGAAACGCCTTTTGTACCTCCTCGTTGTGTTGCTGCTCAGCTATGTTGTCCGCGCACTTCCCTATGGTACGCCCCTGAGACTACGAGTGCCTGACCTACCAATTGACCGAGATTGTAGACGACTATGGCAAAAAGCGCGATCTTGGCCCTCTGGGTGATCTTCCAGGAGGTGATGTGATTGTGTGGGTGGACCAAGCTGGAAATGCTCTTGCCAACAACGTCGTGGGCGGCGGCAATTCAAACCCAACTGCGACGGCAGTTAGTGTAAGTGTTACCAAATGCACTGCTTTGGGCCTCAAGTTAGGGTCTGGGCTAACAGGATAGTCGCCTGCAACTCTTCCACCACTGTTGCCGACTCTCGATGATGATCTGGATCTCTCCCCCGCCGTTTCACTTCCTGAATCTACCAAGCACCCAAAGACCGGCAATTACCGTCGCTTTGGCATCTCCTACTCTCCGTATAACAACGATGGCAGCTGCAAGACCCAAGATCAAGTCAACCAAGACCTGGACAAGCTGGCGCAATACGGGTTCGTCCGGATCTACGGCGTAGACTGTGACCAGACGAACAAGGTTGCCAAAGCCGCGCGACAACGCAACCTGAAAGTCTTCGCCGGTGTCTTCGACCTGCAGAACTTCCCATCCAGTCTTGACTACATCACCGGGGCTGCCAACGGGGACTGGTCCGTCTTCCACACCATCAATATCGGCAACGAATTAGTCAACGATGGTAAGAACTCGATTACCGATGTCACCAACGCAGTAAACACAGCACGCAACAAGCTCCGCGCCGCAGGATACCAAGGTCCCGTGGTAACGGTGGATACCTTCTCAGTCCTGATCCAACATCCCGAGCTCTGCCAAGCGTCCGATTACTGTGCTGCCAACTGCCATGCCTTCTTCGATAACAACAATACCGCTGATAAAGCCGGTCAGTACGTCAAAGACCAAGCCAATAAAGTCTCCAAAGCGGCCCGCGGCAAGAAAACGCTTATCAGCGAGTCAGGATGGCCACATAACGGTCAGCCCAATGGCAAGGCTGTGCCGTCTTCGCAGAACCAACAAAAGGCAATTGCCAGCTTGCAGCAGACGTTCACTGGCGATAATGAATTAGTCCTATTTACTGCCTTTGATGATCTGTGGAAGCAAGACTCCCCTGGTACTTTTGGAGCGGAGAAGTTCTGGGGCATCAATCAACGCTGACGATTGGCATTCTGATCTGCTCCACTTACGTCCATCTGGTGTTGGGCGGCTGATCATCATGGGTAGTAACCTTTCTGACATTCTATACATAGATATGATATGCTTTCGGATTAGATCGCGCAGGTCGTGATTGTTTCGAGAGCTTGTCAGTTGGTATGCCCGTGTGGTGATCCTATTGTTTTGTTTCTATTTCTTTCTACATGTTATGTTTCTTCTTCTGTCCATTTACACAAGTCTTGTGAATAATTGGTTATGTCTCACACAGTATCTTGTGCATATTTGACAGTCACTTGGATTGATGACTTTGAGTCATCTAATCATATCAATTCAATCATATCATATCATACCATACCACAATCCTATGCCAGTAGTAAACCCAGGTCTGATAAGTTCAAGACTGCTTTGCTCTGCTGCAATTCAAACTAAACCGAATCCTACCTAGTAACTAGTAACTAACTGGGCCCCATCGTCGTCGTCGTCATCAACCACGTACGTACTTCTTTCTCAATCTTCCTCGGGAGCCACCCGAAACCCACCCACCCAGTAGCAAAACCAACTTCTTCGGGTAAGCCAGACAATTGAAAAACAAGATCCAAACTAACTAAAACCCGATCTCGGTAATCTTCCCATTCCCACCCACAACGCCCGTTGCGAAAGGCTACTTCGGTTTGGTTTGGTTTCCATGTCCGAGAATGGAGCTAGCTAGTCTTATCCATTCTATTCTATTCTAGTCTAGTCTTGCCACCGGTTTTTAGTATTTTGTTAAGTTGTATTGTATTATTAGAAATTAAGACTAGTATTTTGCGTTTTTGGATGAGGTGAGGTGGTATGTATGTATGTATTATTGGGTTTGGTATTGTTTGTATTATTGGGGTTGTGGTTGTGGTTGTGGTTGTGGTCTTGGTAGGTGGTAGTTTTCTACGTACTATCTATCTTACTCGGACTGGAGATTGGTCGCTTTCAACTAACCAGCTTTAACCAATTAACTAACTCTGTGTTTGTTTGATAAGTATAGGTCCGGGCACGTTAGGGGTCCTTATTAATTGACTATGCTATGTTATCTCGGTTAAGATGCTGAGTTCTGAGTTATCTGGATTATTATGGGTTTGGTGGTTGTGTGCTTGAGATTTGAGGGAAAAAGGAGTCAACAATTAAATGCTTTGCATTATGCCGCTGCAGTTCATGCAGATTATAGTAAACTGGAATGGTGTATGCTTGCTATGCTATGATGCTATAATGTGAATCACATGCTACTCCCAAACGAAAATACCACGTGCAGCTAAGCAGATAGGCAGCTACTCAAGACTGACGTTCTGCACCGCTTCCTCAACACTCACGGTGGCGTTGGTCTTGGGTTCGCTATCTGTGTGGCTATGCTGCTGGCCATTCTGCAGATGCTCCGCCGGTAAATCCGGCACGGGAGGGGGTTTATAAGTCAAGTCAGCCTGGCCGGTCCTTGTGCGGCCGCGACGACGAGTTTTAGGGGGTTCGGGTTTCTGCGTGTGTTTCTGAGTAACAGGGGTGGCGGCCGGCGGGGTAGGTGATGGTGCGGTGGTGAGTGTGCTGGTGCTGCTGACGCTGTGGTGATGCTGTTGCTGTTGTTGCTGTGCAAGTCGAGAAGGACTGGCAAGCGGAGTGCAGTGGCTCGTGACTGGGACAGGAAGGTGACCTACTCCTCCATGGCCTGCGTGGAGGTGGGGAACTGTTGAGCGTCGGGGTGGAGGGACAGCCGGAGGTGGGTTGGAGGCTGAACGGCGTGAGTGACTGGGGACGGGGGGTGGGACGATGCCGGTGGAATTTGTGCGCTCGCTGGCGCTGTTGGCGGTGACGAGGGTTGCTGGTGGAATGAGTGGGCTTGTATGTTGAGATTCGGCGTCTTCGGGGATCTTGTCAGTTTGTCCGTGCTCGTCGTCGCGCCGGCCACGCCAACGTCTTTGTCTCGGAGGCAGAGGCTTGACTTTGGGCTTGCCCAGCAGCTTTGATGGACTCGTTGGGCTATCGATGGCAGCGCGGGCATCGTTGCGGCTGGGTGTTATGATGCCAGGCTTCACATGCTGGGATGCTACTTCTTGGACGCTGAGGCTGGAGGATGATGCGTGCTCAAGGTGCATGCCGATTCGTTGCGCTTGGTTGAGTCTGTGATGCGCAGCCATGCTTGACGCGCTGGAGTCTGGACCATCCAGTCTGGTGGGCGACATGTTCTCAGGAGAGCTGTCGACCGTGCTTGTGGGTGAAAGAGTCCGAGAGGATTCCAGTGGTTCCCCGAACTCAGCATCAGGAGGTACACTATCCGTAGGCGTGGTATCTTCATCGTGAAATGGCTTTTCTGGTTCGGGGTCTCGAAGCCATTCAACAGCTGCGCATCGAAGAACCAGCCTTCGTGTTGTCTCATCCACGTCGTCGAAGTGCATTATCTTCTCCCGGTCAGGCCCACTCTCGGAGAGCTGACCGTGAACAAGCAGTCTAAGCACCCGCCTGAGCTCCTCCCGCTTATAGAAGGGTGGATATTTCAGTTGTGTATGTGCCAGTAGTGGGTAGAGAACACGCAAATATGTGTGTCGGAGAGCGGACGCCTCTTCAGGCAGGTCCAGAAGGTTCCGAATGAGGATGTCGACTAGCACGTGAAGATCATTGGTAAAAAAGTATTCGTAGGTGGTCGGGGTAGTGAATATGAGGTATAAGAGCTTGAGCGTCAGAAGCTGGAGCGATGTCTCGGCTGCCAGAGTTAGAACCTTCCACCCATTGCGCTTGGGACGACTAACCTTCACGATTAATCAGAAGAATAATATTCTCCCCAAAAGTCTTGTACAGGTTGCCGTGCATGGCCAAGATCTTGATAATCTTGTTCGTCAAGCCATTGGACGTATTCTCATCGACCGGATCATGCGCGGAAATCATGAACTGCTCGTTCAAGACCAGCTGAGCATATCGTTAGCATAACCCCAATACACCCAGACAAATCCATAACCACTCACCAACACCCGAATAACCGGATAATGATAAGGATCATTAACATCGTACGACAGATCCTCAATGATATCAAAGAGGCCCTTGACGAATTCATCATCCACGAGAACTGTACCACCCTTCAGTCAACAAACAACCCAGTCCACAACAATACTACCCAAGAAGAAGAAAAACGCACCCAAATCCTCAATCTTGACCCTCTGAATCCTCGACATCTCATACATCAAATCCATCAGCAATCGATGCAACCCCGCAGGGACCTCCTCTTCCTCCTTCCGATTCCGCGCCTGCAGCAGCTCCAACAACCTGGGGAACAAGCCCTCCTCATTCATCATCCGAAACGCCACGTCATGCTGTCGACCGTCAAAGAGCAAGAACGATACGATGAGGTGAAGAGTCGCAGGGTCGTCATCCTACACCACCAAACCAGCATCAGCGAACCAGATCCCCACCATCCACAAGGAAGAAACTAAGAGAAGAAAGAAATCCGAACCTGCAACAACCCATAGACCATCTGTCTCCGCACATAATCCGTATGAGCGACAAAGATATTCGACGCAAGCAATTTATACGAGCACCTCGTAACATCTAACTCGGATTGAAGGTATTCATCTAAAACCATAACACCCAAATATCAGCTTCCCACGTCCCGCATATTTCAGTTCCATATCATCTCATTTCATCATACCTTTGTATTTGGTCGCCAGACTCAAATAAGACCTCAGCGCATTATCAATATGATCTTCCGAGGAGCAAGGGGAGGAAACAATCTCTTGTATCTCGTCCCAGAATTGCTGCTCGTTCTCGAGGGAGACCTCAAAGTCCATTTCCCGGTGCTACTGCTGGTGCGGTGCTAGTGTTGCTGCGGGGGGTGCTGCGGGTTGATCGTCCTCGTCGTCGGCGGGAATGTCGTCGTGTGGTTGTTTCCCTGCACTCATCCCGCCCGCCTTGCGCTTGGAGCTGGGTTGCGAGGAGGGGTGGTGGTGCACTTGCTCCGCGGGGTGGGGGGAAGGTAGAGGGAGGTGGTGTGTTGTGTGATGTGTGTATGTGGTGTGGTAGAAAGGTAGGTAGTATGGAGTGGATGGATGGAATGGAAGTGGCCAAGTCAACTCGGGCGGCGGCGGGGGATTGGCGGGCGATCCACCGGTATTTTTCTGGTCGGGGAAACAGGAGTGAGAACTACTTATCTACGGAGTACTAAGGACGGCCGTACGTCATTCATCAGCACTAAATACTTAGCTGACTAGCTAATTTTCTTGTTAACTAGATATTGTCTTGAGTCTTATTGCTTGGTATGACAACATGAATTGTAGATTTACAACATTGGATTCTGAAGATATGTGGAAATTATGAATCTGTCAATATAGAAACCAAAGTTGTTGCTCCGGTCCCATGATTAATTGTTTACAGCCACTAGTAAAGTACGTAGTCTATACAACAACAACATCCTCCCAGCGCCAGTCGCCGGGTTCATTACAGATCGCCTGATATCAGCCTCTTATTCCCAAGCCAGCTAGAGAAATAACGAAAGCATCACGCAAGAGAGAAAAATCGGGGGAAGACGAGGTGATAAATAAAGGGTGACGATTAAAGAAGAGGGTCAATCAACTCATGTGCTCGGGGACGTGGTATCTGTACTTTTCCAAACAAACGCAATAACAAAAACAGCAATATCGACGTAGACTGCACATGCACATGCATACAAAGCCATAGAGAGCATTAGGGTTACTGCGGGCGCTTGAATGGGTGCGCTTCGGTGTTTCTGCGGTCAAGGGTCAGTCTCCAGTGTGCAGTTCTCGTCAAGGCCAGCTTTCACTTACAGCACATATTCGTCCAGACTCACCACGTTCGGGTCGCTGAACAACAGGTAGAAGTACTTGAGCGTCTCCGCCAGCCAGAAGGACTGCATCTCGTCCGTAGGCTTCGGAGTCTGGACCGTCACGTCTTCAATGGCCGAATTGGCCAGCTCCGTCCGCGTGTACTTGGACACCGCCTCGAACATCTCCCAGCCCTTCTCGCGCCAGTACTCGTCGCCCGTGAGGCGGTACATGATGAACACCGACTCGATCGCCTCGGGCCGCAAGAGGTACTTGCGATCCACTAGACGAGTCACACCAGGTGGCAGCCGCTCGTTCCGAATCCGGGCCGCGACAAACTCCTCGTGCGAGGGGGCCTTCTCCTCCTCGGCTTCGTCAACGGTCTCCACCGGTTCCTCCTCCTTCTTCTTGATGTCGTCGGGAGGCGTTGCAATGACGTGCCAGTTGCCGCGCTCCCGCTTGGCGTGGGACTTCTTGATCGAGTTGATAGCCTCAGGCTCAGGATCCACGTATTCGTTGGCCTTGGCTTTCGCCTTTTCTTTCTCCTTCTCTTCTTTGCGTGCCGCCGCCCGAGCCAATCGCTCCTGCATGTTCGGGTCCAGCGCCTTGTAGTAGGTTTCCTCGTTCCATTCGCACTTCTCTCCATTCTTGCAAGGAATCAAGGAGAAGTGCTCAGGCATGATTCCGGTCTTGGTGGACTCGTACGCCCACACACAGCCATCAGTCAACTTGGACGCCAAATCCATGTCACCTTCAATGCCAAACAATTTGGCACCAATACCAACCATGCCACCCACGAAGCAGGAAAGATGATCGCCGTCATAGGTGACCTTCGTACGACCAGGCTGCTTGGGCACCGTCATGGTGCTCAAGAATCGAACATCACGACCGCCCTTGATCATGGGCTGGAAGAGGAGCCGTTCTTTGGTTGCCTTGATGGCCTTTTCGTACATGGTGCGGTACTGATCGTTGAGACCGCCCAGCAGCATATACTCCTTGGGCAGATACTCATACGTCGAGTCAGCAAGAGCGCCCAATCCGTACTTCTCGCTTTCCGAGGCGGGGCTGGTCAAGCCTTCATGGCACTGCGCGTCGGGGGTCTGCTTGTCGAAGGAAGCGCGGTACTCGCTCTCTGAGCTAGGGTAGTTTTGTTGACGCGAGACTCCACCGTACTCAGCCGGTTGGGCATCGTCGTGCAGCGATCTTGCATCATGAGGCACCAAAAACTCGGTGTAGCTCTGGGCGTCCGTGGGAGCAGGCCGAGTGGTGTGAGGCCTCGTGGGAGCAGTACTGGTGGCTGATTCTACTGGCACTTTTCCGCGAGGAACCTCATGATCGATGTGAGTGGGGGTCTTCTTGCAACCAGATGCGTCGATCTTCATTGGCCACAAGCCAGGAAGCTGCGTGTTGTCCTGATAAGCCTCGAGCGCATTGGTAATGCGCGCAATAGCGTCGTAGTACTTGTTTTCCTTGGTCAGCTGTGCCAGGCGGGTGAATTCCACAGAAAGAGAGCCGAGTTCAGCCAACACAGCCTTCTTGTCTGCGCGATGCGGTTGCACTGTGTAAAGCCTGCATAACAAGCACGTCAGCTATACATAATCCAATCTATAGCACCAAAACAAAGAACTTACGGGGCCCATTTGTAAAAGAGGGTTGGCATGCGGTTCGGGGTGTCAAAAGCGCCCATTATAATCTCGGCTAGCTCTACGGCCTTCTCCAGAAGCACATCGTACTTGTGTCCGGAGATATCGTATGCACCGAGCAGACCTCCCATATAACGGATGACAGTCTCGAAGACCGGAATATCCTTCTTCTTGGAAGTGGTGAAGTCGATGGTCTTGATAAAGTCGACCGCAAGGGAGAACTCCTCCTTCAGGCCCATGAGCCAAAGGGTATCCAAGCCGTCCACGAGAGTAGCTCCCCAGCCATTGAACGGATCGCGATATCCACCACGGAGGGGCAGGACCTCATCATGGCCCATGGCGGAAGTTTTGTAGCCAGTCCAAGCGTGTTCGAAAGTGGACCTGATCGTCGATAGCCTTTCGAGACGCTTCATCTTGTCGGCGGACGATTCGTCTTTGAAATCAGCCTGCAGTTTAGGGAGCACCTTGGATTGACCGGCGGGCAGCTGGATCAGGTCCTCGGGAGCGAGAGGATATTGCTCGGGCATCTTCTTCCAATGGGGGTGTGGCCAGGTGGACTCGGGAGCCTCCACTGCCAACTTCCCTTTATCTTCAGAATCCAATTGGGACTGGGCCGGACCAGACTCGGCTTCATTCTTGTTCCCCGAGGCTGTTGCATCACTCGACGGGTTGGACACTTCCGCGGAGGTTGAGGGGCGAGCATCAGATAAGGTTTCGGTAGACGGCTCTTTCGCTTCTTCGGAATGTTGATCAGAGCTCTCGGGGGAAGAAGGAGGAGGGGGCGGAGGGACATCTACGGGAGCAGAGTCCTTGAGGGTGGTCTCGTCAGCGGGGGGAGGGTTTGGCGAGAACGATGCAGGATGACGATCAACGGGTGGCGGCGCACTCCAGGCGGAAGGAGCCTGTTCTCGAGATCGAGCGAAATGTATGAAGGCGAGCACAAAGATGGTCGCGAAGACCAGGAGGACCCGGTAGCGTCGGGCTCGAAACATGGTGAACGAATGTAACCGAGAAGGTAGTAACACAAGACTCGGAAAAACGAAAGGCAAGAAACAGAGTTTGAAAGGGGAGAAGAGATTCCCAAGCGAAAGTCAAGTCAAATGCAAAGAATAATATAAATGCTCCCCCAAGAAGAGGAGGTATTGAGAAGGGGGGGGGTGCGGGTTATACGAGGGAGGAGGGACACCGCAAGGATCACGAGATCCCAAGGGAGTCAAGTTCCTGCAAGCCGCGGGACAAGACTCGGGGCGAAAACGAATGGAGAACACTCCCAATCAATGAGGAGTGGATTATAAGAATCGAGGAGGGTCAGATTTTCCTCTAACGACAGACTGGGCTGAGATCCAGCATGCAACAAAAGTGGACCAAACGAGTGGAAAGAGAATGAATCAATCAGGAGGTGGGTGGGAATTGGCGGAGAGTTGACCTGTTTTAGGTCATGATTGATTTCGGGGGAGAAGAGAGAGAGAGAGAGAGAAAGAAGGAAGAGAGCGGAGTGTGAGGGAGGATGGATGAATTGGGAATGACAACCTGCAGCCCTGACCGGAAAGGGAAACTATCAGGTGAGAAAAGGGAAAGAAAAAGGTAAAGTGTAAAAAGTAAGAAGTAAGAAAGAGGAGAAAGAAAGCCAAGAAAAATAAAAAGAGGACAAGTCTAAAGATGGTGGGAAGGAAAAAGCACCAACTAAACACCTGCACGACAGGAAGAGAGAGAGAGAGAGGGAGAGGGAGAGAGAAGGTAAGAGCGCGCGTGAGAGAGAGAGACAGACTTGAAAGAGGGGAGGAGAGAGGAAAAAGGGCCGACTAGTTAGTAACTGGAAGGTTTAGACCTCCGCCAGGGACTGGCCAGACCGCGCGATGCTCCAATAAAATGAATGAATTGAGATTGAAGAGGAACTAAAAGAATGGATGGAAACTCGCCTGAACCGCCTGCGGATGCAACCGCCGCTCACATCCAAGCAGAAAGCCATTAAGCCCTGAGCCCCGGCCAAGATTCTGGGTGCTGCGCGCGTGGAGCCCAAAGGAAAAGTTATCGCGGTCGGAAATCGCTTGGATCAGGAGTCAAATTTAAGACCGAGTCTGTTGCAGTTTGCATTAAACTATTACTTGTTCACTGCACCATCATCCATCCATCCTGGCTGAATAATGATGAAAGGAATGACAATGACTGAATGCAGCAACTAGTCAACTATCAATTGATGATGATGATGACTGGGGGGGGTAAGCAATACTCCGATCCCATCATTGGCATTCCATGTCAAGTCAAGACTGTCAATAGTCCGGCGCATTGCACCCCAAAAAATTAAAATTCAAAAATGAAAAAATCCAATAAAATCAATGATCGAGACCAACAAAAGGAGATCCCCGGATCCGCGACGGAGGGATCAGCAGGGAGATTGAATTGATAGCTGCCGGTCGGTCGGGCGCACTGGTTCCAGACTTGCAGGGGGGGGAAGAGAAGAAGAAGGAAAGACAGATGGATGATCGACTGTCAAGAACCGGATTGGAATGGGGGAGAGCATCATGGATTATAAGATCGACTAACAATCCACTTAATGTCTCTCTACAATTGTTATTTTTCAATTGTCTACGTATGTCTCTACGCAATTCGCAGTATGTTTTGTACGTATACCATTGACATTCATGGTGGCTGTTCGCTGCTAACAACAACAACAGCAACAACATAATGCGCGTCGGCTGCAGGGGACGGACTGACTGGATCCTCTTTTTTCCTTTTCCTTTTTTTTTATTTTCTCTCTTTTAGTCTGAGTTGCTAAATATAGCCTGTGATGGACCCCCCGTAATTACCGAGACGGGCGGGGGGTGGATAACACAAACAATCACAAGGAAGAGGAAGAAGGAAGAAGAAGAATAATGGGTGTTATTTCCCTCTCGTTCCACGAATTATTCATTCATTCATTTGATTCTTTGATTCATGATGGTCAAAAGTTATCAAAGACTAAACTAATAACCTTTCCCCTCCTACTCATCCATGGATACTCGTCCCGGAAACCCGGAGTTTATCCAGGGGTGAACTGAACTTGGTTATCAGCTATCATTAATCAGGTGACCTCCCTAGTACTAAAGTAGATTCAATCACATTGTTAGGTTGTCTGTCACCGACCAAGTAGGTCTGTTCTTCCGCCATCCGAATTCAGCCAAGCTAATGTAATTAATATATGGGCGGGCTTCTACTCGTGCCGTGAATATCCGACTAATCTAGACTTGAAGGCCATTTTCTGCTGTCTCCATCTCTGAAGAATTTTTGGTGCCTTTTACTCTCCCCTGACTTGGAGGGGCTTTCACAGCGGGGACTGCTGTTTCGTATGTGAGGACCCTGAAACGTGCTCTTCTCGGACTCTGAGCGAGCACGCAGACCCTGAAGAATATGGGTCGATTCAAGTTGAAAATAGGAAGAGCAGTATCAGGTTATAAATAAATACTATTAAATGAACATTCCGTATCTTGAGAAGTAAAGAGGGAAAAAAAGGTTTGGTGCTTGGATGAATCGGGGCAAAGGTCCGGTCAGACAGACAGACCCTGGTCCTCTTCTTTACTACCTTCCATTTAGCCGGGACTAGACTATCATACATACATCCCGACAGAATAAATCAGCTGGACAAAACCATTGTAAACTTTAGTACTACTAACCATTGCTGCAGGTCTGATCACTAGCGTGGCTAGCCTATCCTCCACTCTACATACAATTGTACCCTTCTACTGGCGTATGCTGAATGACTGCCTTTTCCCGTGGGTTGTCTGGGCCAAAACTCCCAAGGCTTTCCATTTCCAGGTAATCAGGACTACCTACTGTAACCATGTGCACCGTAGAGGCGATTGAAACCTCACATCCGCGCCAACCTATTCTAATTATATACCAACTGTCGTCCGTCCCCGATTGTCCTGGTTGACTTTCTGAAACTGCTGGATGAGCCCCAGAACACCCGCCCCGCCAGCCAGGGCGTCGACATTCTCGCCGCCCTCGTCTTCTTCCTCGACCTCATCGCCTACCAGATTCATCCGCCATGACTCCCCCAAGTTACTATCACTGGTGAGTATACCACCCCCGCTCGACCCGACCCCGGGTGACGATTTCACCGCACCACGACCCTTGCCCGCCGGAGGATCTTCATCTTCAATGGGGTCGGAGATGGTGGGAGGCGGTCGTGAGGCCCTATAGCGCGGATACGGATTAGCGCGGTGCGTTGACCGGAACCCTGATGCTGACGGCTGATGGTGCGGGTCAAGCAGCATCGATGGTGCCGGGGAGAGATGGTCGCCCATGCCAGCGGGTCCAAACCGAGGAGCGCCATATGTAGACTGTTGACCCATCAGTCCAGTTGCTGCCGGCCGATCTCCATAATTGCCCATCTCAATGGCAGACGGGGATCCCAGGGTCGGGAATGTGGGTGGAGGGTGAAATTGTCGCTTCGTTGACGGATGAGCTCCGCGCGGATTAGCACCATAGTTGTCCAAGAACCCGTAATAAGATGCAAGCATTTTGCCATCCTTGGTCGAGAAGTAGTCCGCCCGAAGGTCCTGCCGGGCAGCATCCCGCCGACCTGTGTCCCCTTGCGAGATCACGTTGGTGCCCTTCTTGAAGTCGAAGACCGCAAAGGAGCACAGGTATCCCATCCCATCGACGTGGACGGTGAATTCTCGGAAAAAATCGATGAGACGGTCACTGCACTTGGGCAGACTGAACCAGAGGATGAACGGTGTGAAGATCATACTTAGGATCTCCTCCAGGAAGATGACGATCTTCATCTGATACAGCACGGCAAAGTCCTTCCGGACATCGTCACTATGCAGACGGCCTTTCCAGTGGCTTGGGAAGTAGTGAGTGAAGTTGATGACTTCAAGGAGCGCGTACTCTGGATCAAACACATTGGTCTCTTCCGGGACCAAGCCCTGCGCGACAGCCCAGATAGAACCGAAGACACCCAAGTAGAAAAGCACAGTCCGGTCGTGAGTTATCTCAAACCCCAGGAACAGTTCCGGGTCCACAACGGAAGCCAGGGCCAATACCGAGGCCAGTGCCCCAGAGACGAACGCCACGAAACCCGCAAATTGCACCATCTTGTCTTTGGGGAACTGATCCACATAGCGGCTCGCGAAAGGGTAAGACATATTGACACGTCGTTCAAACAAGTGCCACAGCTCGTTGAACTCACGGAACTTCCATTCGGCCAGTGGGGTGTATTGTCGGGATCCGATTTGCGATGGATTCTTCTTGTATTCGTTGAAATAGCGGAAGAAATAATGCATCATGAAATAGACGACAATGAAGGGGGCTACGAAGATATTCATGATGCCTGCGAACATGAAACGCCGTCGCAGGCCTTCACTCAGGGCCCGTCGATGAGTGTCTTTCAAGAACAACGTCCGCACTTGACCCTGCTCGTTGAAAACATAATCCATGATGCAGAGGTTGATGTTCCATTCAAGCGTCCGCGAGAACAATTGCCTGTTCCGCAGGAACGGTATCGGAAGCGTCAGATCTAGTATATCTTTATTTATCAAGGCAATCAGATAGTTTTCTTTGCGCATCAGTCGGTTTGCGATATCGTGAGCATCCATGCGCTGCTTTGATTGACTCCCCATGAACTTGCGGTTCTTCGCAGAGACCGCACCCGCAGTCGCAGGGTTGGAGTCCCTCAGAGTCATCAATCGGCTGACGACCTCTTGCCAGGATATTGATTGGATTTCAGCATCTGATATTCCAAGCAAGTAGTGATAGAAGTCATGCATGTGCTTGAGTCTTCGGATATCTAGCACGTACTGAAAGGCCTTGCCAATCCAGAAGAACGAGAGCAGCCATAGTAAGAAGGTAGCGGACATGGACATTTGCTTTGTACACTTCTGGATCAGAATGTCGTCCAGAGTTCGACTCCCTCGTACCTTGTGGTAGTCAATGCAGTTAGTGAGGAATATGCTGAACCCTACGACGAATGCAAAGGTCCTGAATACCGCACATGTCAGTCTCGATTCAGTCTCAAATCATTCAGTTGAAGTTGAAAATGAGGAAGTGAGACTTACAAGAGACTCAAAACCCTGTTCAAAAGAATCGACCAAATACCGTTTCCAAGAAAGTATGTGTAGACTTCCTTCAAGAAGTTGTCCAGGTTTTCCACGTTTGCCCACATCCACAGTGCCTTCTCTTTAGGATCTACCAGTGCTAAGTTTGGATATCCCGCTGACCACAGACTTGCATGATGAGCCCTCCTATTGTTGTCATGTACCGGTAATCGTTCGCGGGCGGTTTCCCAGTGGACTCGGTCGTCTCGAGGCGATGGTCTGGGCTGATGAGCAAGATTCGGGGGGTCATTCGAACGGGGAGGAGGTGGAAGCTTCGATTTCAAAACATCATCGTCATCTTGGTCTCCTTCCACGAGGAGGGAGGGAGGAACATCATCATCACTATCATCGAACTTGTGGCGCGGTGAAGCTGCGTGTATCCGACCTGGGCGGCTAAACTTGCGGCGACGAGAACCGGCCTTGAGGAAGCCCTCCTCGTCCCTTTTCCTTGGCGGGCTTCGGGGGAGAAATGGATCGCTGGGACCGGGGGAGTCATCCCTCCCAGCATCTGCTAGAGCATCTTCCAGCTCACGGTCGCTGAATCGGTCCCCATGTTCATCGTCAAACGCCATTCCTGCACGTTCCTCCACGTCCGAACCGTCCGAATGATTGTCATGTTGTCGGATTGTCTCGTACACTGACGGGGAGCCGTTGGGAGGGAGGAAACGCGATAAGATATTGGAGGTCATCATCTTGGGCTAAGATACTAAGGAAGAAGTAGATAATAGAATCATCAGTACATTATTAACGGCCGTCAAGCCGTGTTCGAGGTCACTTCAAGGCCATCCAGCTAGGGTAAACACGGTATATAAAGAGAAACACTCGGGGTGGTTCAAAAATCCGAAAGGGCGGTAGTAGTTCGGGAACCTAGAGCGAGGATCGACTTGTTCCGCCTGGAACAGTACAAAGAGGGAAGGATCTATAGAGCGAAGCAGGATCAGTTTGCCTTTGACTTGATCAGAAAGTCAAGAAGATGATGAGCGATAAGCCGATGGACCTCGTAGTTATCTACTGAAGGAGGTCGGTTGACTTTGGTCGGTAGGATCAGGAGCAAGTCCCGGGGGGGTTGGAGGAGGAGCTGATGACCGCCTCGTGATAAGCTCCGATGATGCAGGCGGTCAGTCAATCAGTCACCTCGATAGCACTAGTCCTGCTGCTCCGAAGCGGTAAAGCAGTTCCCTTGTTGCTGCCTGAGCCGATCACGATGAAGCCTAAGGCATAAAGATTAACAATCATGTGATGGATCTCGGGACAACGTTAATGCGGAAAATCCCAAAAGAGCATGATTACGTGCTGCATGTCACATGATGGGATGGCCGAGTCATGGCCGGTGAGTCTGTGACGACACGAGTCAGGCCCAAGTGGGATGCTGGACGGGATGGGCCGCCGATGGGGACCACTGATTGGCTCCAGCGCCAGCAATGCTTGAGCGCCGGTGTGGCTCGTGCGGGGTGGGTTTCCATTCTCGAAGCTCTTTCTATTTGCTAGTTTGCCCAGTGCCCGGCAGGGGCTCCTTCCTCACTGGTAAGTAGTCAAGAGTCTAACATACGTGGTGTATCGTTGGCCTTTGGCTGCGTTTTCTTTCCCTTTGTCCCACCCAGACATAGAAGTGTTGTCCTCCAGAAATCCCCATCCTCCAGCTGCAGTGGGATTGTTGACCAGGTGTCCGTTGGCTGCCTTATATGTGGTTCGATGAAGTCCAAGACTTCCCGAATGATCCACATATTGGTGAAGTTTTCGCTTGGGTGAAGACTGTACTCCGTACCATGGACTTGAAGTTGTTGTGTTTCTTCTGCGGACCGAGTTACTCTTTCCTTCTTCGGCCTGGTCCTTCAAAGGTTAATGCCAATCTATGAATATATAGATACTGCGCTGTGGTTTGTTATGACTGGCGGTGGCTTTTCTCCCCATCCGGTTCCGGGATCAATTGGCTAAATTGGAAGACACCCGCGATAACAACTACTACACAATTATTCTATCCAGTAGTGCCAATGAATAGTCTGGTAAAGGCTGGGCAATGGCTTGACTAGTGACGGCGGGATGCCGACAACTAACTAGGCTACAATTGCAGCAGATGGCGTTCTGCACACCGTTGACGTGAGCATAGTCATGCGTGGTTAGTAGCCACAACTCCCACTACACTGTGCTTACTGCTTTCGGAGTGCACCAGCAGCCATTGCAATATAAATGCAATCTAACGTCGGGTAATACTACAGGGGAGGGGAGGCGGGAAGGATCCCAGTGGCGATAATCATTAGTGACTCGGATCTGACTGCCGTACCCTGTTGGGATCTGTTCTGGAAATGGTCTGTCTGATTATTGTACGACCGTCTCTGCCACGGTTTGATTCTGTACGACTTCTTCGGTGCCGATGGAAGAGGAAAAGAACCATCACAAGGTACCGAGTCGATCAGTCAAATCCTGAAAAGGGTAAAAGAAGGCAAGAGCACGCGAAAAGCAGAAGTAATCGGGGTAGAACAGAAACAAAAAGCGGGAAACAAAAGTAATTTACCACTATCGGGGCTGGTTGTACATTAGCCCAGAGGTGGTGCGTTCGTAGACCTTTCTGGAAGGTCATGATAATCGACCATCCTTGACCCGCTTCTTCAGCCAAAGAACAAAGATACGTACCTCGTACGACTTCTTCCTACATGGCTGATCTGTCCCTAGTGTCTGGGCATAACATAAATTGGCCATGGAAATCGGGTCGGATGAAGCGATCGAGTTCAAGTGCACACCGTTCCTATAGAAAGAGACTGGGTTGAACTCATTCCCGGCTCAAAGGAAGAAGAGCCTGGCTTGCTTTTAAGCCGGGATTGAATATGACCTCCCTGAAACAACGCCTCATATATGGGCTCGAGTGTGTGCAGAGGAGCGTGTTCATAAGGAAGATCATATTCAGTGGCACTAGCTATAATCAATGTCTTATTATAAAGCCGTTGCTTTTGCACCGTGCTTCCCTATAGTCAGTTCGCAGCCAGTCAGTCATTTTAACCACACACCACCTACTAAGTAAAGAAGACTGGGAAAATAGGAGGTTCAAAGACGCACTCGCCTTCCATCATCAAGTGGATCCCAGCCCCAGAGCCTGAACCCAACAGTTTTTCTTTTCCGTCGATTTTCCCTTTTCCTTATTTCAGCTTAAATTTTCGTTCAACCCTCCTCAATCCTTAAGGTTTTGTTCTTATTTTATTTTTTTTATTTGACTTAATTCCACTCGTACTAGCCTGGTCAATTGACGACTGAAGAAAAATTCTGTTTTAATCCTCATTCTTTTGCTTGCTCATAGTAAAATAAAATATAGGGTCAACTTGCATATAGAACGAACCAAGCAGGTCAACATCAGGCCATTGATCGATTGGTCGGGGAGAAAGTCCAATGAGTGGTTTCAATGACTCCATAACCGGTGTTGCCAATTACCCCGTCAATTCGGAACCAAAAAATCACCAACGCCTTCGTCCCAGGGTAGTAAAGAACCAGAAGGGCTCGTAGGCCTGCCTCTGCCTGCCTTACTCCACGTAGTGCCGTGTCCTACTTTACTCTATATCACTCACTACTACCTCTACTATCATCAATCGGAGAGATCACCGGGCGTTTGTCCAAATTCCCCTGCATATTCTGGAAGTTGGAAGGGTCTCTCCATTGTCGTATCACCAGCTAATCCTCTCGACCTGAACACTTCTACTAGCCTTTCAGTATCCCTGATCCCAAGTAAAACGTAAGTAAAGAGAGATATTAATTTTTCATTCTTTTGGTTCTGTTTCTGCTCTCCCCCTCTCCCCAAAGGTCATCGATATACCTGAGTCAGGAACTCGTTAGTAGTATCATCATCGTCCTCGTTTCTTTGGCTTCCTCTCAATCTCCTTCCTCTCTTTGTGTCCTTATTTTTCCCACTTCCCCCCCGGCCCGCTTGTTCTTCAGCTGCACGAAGTTCAACACCGCCTCCCGCTTTCCCTCCGTCGCGGACTGACTCCATCCCTCGCCCTTCTTACCCAGCTGATCATTGACTTTCCACCTTCTCCCTCTTTTTCCCTCTCTGGTCCCTCGCTTACTTCCACCCACCTTCTCAACACCACCATTTACCACACCTTCTCCCTCACACTGCCCCCTCCGACTAGACCAGACACCCCCCCTCGTCTGTCGTACAGAAAATGCATCCATGCTGATGCGGGATCTGCAGCTTTCACAACGCACGTCGTCTGGGTAATTGGCTTCACCAATCCGTCAATCATTTGAACCAATTATCCCACCCTTTTTCCATCCTCCCTAGTCGTCGTTCCTCCCCCTCCCCCCCGACTACGGATTGAATTCCCTCTCAAAACAATTCAAAAGCAAAGGAGGGGATTTATTTTATTCTACCAGGACAATTAAATCAATTCTAGCGCATGAAGGTGCGTCTATTCTTTCCCCTCAAGCTTTCTTGTGTCAATTTCCAATGATATCACGTCGCGGTTGGTCGAACCAAACCTTTGTGCCGACCGATCTATCCACCGAACTGCTGCTGCTGCCACCACCACCACCACCACCACCCCATTACCACCCATTACCACCACCCACTGCTTGCTACTGCCTGTGTTCTTTCAAACCCGCTTACTCCCATCATCACTTCCTTCCCATCGAGCTAACATACCCGACGATGGCCTTCTAGCAGCGACATCGCGGCTGTATTTGGAGTATAGGAGGGTTGGTTCCTTGCCGCGCCTACTAGCGATTTTCGCCCTGTACTTTTCTCGTCCACAACTGCCTGCGCTTCTCCCGTTCGCTCACTGGTCCCCCTACTGCCACCGCCATCATCGTCACGTCCGTCGAATCACCACCATACTACACCCCTCCCCTGAACGAACAATCGTTTTGCGACCGCCCCCCCTTCCGCCTCCTCTCACAGTCGCTAGCACCAAAAACGCCACGGCCTCGACCGAATGTGCGACTCTAGCTCCCTCCCTCACCCCGGACTCCATGCGTTCAGCTAGCGACCCATTGGACGAAAGAGACCCTCAATTGTCAGAGGACGGTTGCGCAGCGTACGTTGGGTGTCAGCGTGCTGTAAGGTAACAATCCCGCAGTGTATCACCAGTTTATGTGTCTCCGCCCGTTTGCCTGCGTCCCGTGTGCTTTGTAGCGACCTCTCCCGAGTGCCGCTGCTACCGGTTCCGTCGTGCGTGGGTGGAAAGAAAAGATGGAGCCGGAAGGGTCAAGTGGATTCAAACGGAACTCTGTCCATCAGGGAATTTACAGTCGTCCTGTGGAACGGCGGCCCAGCAAGAAGTCTTCCTCCAAGGACCGGCACGGGATGGTGTATCCCGATAGCTTCAGGGACACGGGAATTCGAACAGTCACCCCAGACTCTGAGGCTGGCAACCACTCACCTTCCTCGGAGGCGGAGTATCTCGCATCAAGTGCAGCAGCTTCCCCTCGCCCCGCCACCCGGACAAGAGCCTCCGATCGAGAATCCCGTCGCGACTATCACTCTTACCACTCGGCAGGCGACGAAGAAGATACACATGTGGAGATGAAAAGTCAGCGCGCACGGTCACGGACCACCACCCTAGATGATCAGCGCAGCGAGATCTCCCCTAACACATTTTTCAGAGCCCGGAATCGCCTGGGATCTATCAACACCGCAGTTCCACAACCCAAAACCCCGGACGAGTCGTCATCTATTGGCTTTCCGTCGATTCAGTCCCCCACTTATTTCAGTCACTCCCTTGGCCGCCAACGGTCAAGCAAGCCCCCAGGGGGTTCGAGCTTGGTGACGAGCGTATCGGCCAATCAACCCCCCTCGGCGCTGTCGACTACCGATGCGTCCAAAATCCTGCAGCTTATGAAAACGACTTGTGGAAGGATGCACGGCATTCTTTCGTTTCGGACTGCATCAACAACGGCTTGGTCCTCGGGCTACTGCGCCATTAACGTCGCCACGGGCAGTCTAATATATCAAGCCAAGGGGGAGCCCGCACTGGCCAAGACCTTGATTCCTGATCTGCGTGGCTGTCAGGTTCGCTCGCTGGTCGATCCGGAACTACGGACGAACTACCTCAGCGTCTCCACGTTTACTTCAGGACTCGGTGTCGAGCTAAGACCCCATGTGAGCGAAACATTCGATTCCTGGCTTGCTGCTTTGTTATGCTGGCAGCCAATCCGCCCCAAGGGCGTCCAAAACAAGATGACAAAGCCCCAGTCGGTGGCCATTGGCGACCGCCGTTTGGTCGAGCGCCGGCGAAACTCCGAAAGTACAGTACAAAAAGAGGCAGCTATCATTAAAGTTGGCAAGATGCTATTATGGGACAGGCCCAGTGCGTCGGGTGTTCGACCTTCCTCTGGCCGCCGAGTGTCAACATATCGCCAACAGAGAGCTCTTTCCTCCTCGTGGCTGAGAGTCAGCTGTACGTTGCAAGAGAATGGTGCCTTCAAGCTGTATACCGAGTCCGACATTACACTTGTAACATGCATCCAACTTTCGCAACTTTCCCGCTGTTCCGTGCAGCAATTGCACTCTTCGGTCTTGGAAGACGAATTCTGCATCGCCATCTATCCTCAATACGCCGTGCACTCTGCATCCGGCATCACTCGACCAGTATATCTAGCCCTGGAAAGTCGAGTCCTATTCGAGGTATGGTTCGTGCTCCTGCGCGCCTTTACGATACCTGAGCTCTATGGGCCCGAAACTTGTGCAGAAGATGACCCGAAGAGTCCGTCCGACGCCGCTGCGTCATCCATGGCAGATATGTTCCGAATCGAGCGCATGCTCAATGTGAGAGTCACGGAAGCTAAGCTGCTCCGAAATAAGGCTGCGGAGAAGGCTCCTAGAAGCCGGAAGCAGTCACGGTCACATAGCAATTCAACCCCAACATCTGCCGTGAGCGATTACTACACAGAAGTACTTCTTGATGGGGAAATCCGTGCCAAAGTATCGATTCTAGTAAAGACGATCAGCCCGACACAGAAGGATTGGACGCTTATCGCACATGGCTCCTATGGCCAGGACCATAGTAATCCGGCACGTTTGTTAGACGACGTTGAGCTCTCCTCCCAGGATGCTACGTTCGGCAGGGTCGATTTGAAATTGGACGATCTACAGCCTGGAGTCGAAACGGAAAAGTGGTGGCCGATCTTAGATGATAAAGATCAGCCGGTGGGTGAAATGCTCATGCGAGCGCGGATGGAGGAGACGGTCGTTCTGATGTCGCACGAGTACACGCCGATGTCTGAAATCCTACATTCGTTCACCAATGGCCTCACTATTAACATGTCTCAAGTCATGTCCTCGGAGCTGAATCAGTTGTCCGAAGCTCTTCTAAATATATACCAGGTGTCAGGCACGACTGTCGAATGGATCTCAGCCTTGGTTGAGGATGAGATTGACGGGCTGCACAAAGAATCGACAGCGAATAGACTGAGGTATACCACGAGGATTCACTCCAACGATTCCCGGGAGTCGGGCCAAGAAAGAGAAGTCCTTGTGAGAGACATGGGCCGTACTGCTACCGTCGAGGCAAACCTGCTTTTTCGAGGAAATTCGCTTCTCACCAAGGCGCTTGACTACCACATGCGTCGCTTAGGCAAGGAGTACTTGGAAGAAACCATTGGCGAGCGACTTCGCGACATCGATGAGACCGACCCGGAGTGCGAGGTGGACCCTTCCCGTGTACATCGATCGGATGATCTCGAACGCAACTGGAGGAACCTCGTCTCCCTAAGTACAGGGGTCTGGAAGTCGATTGCAAGCTCTGCATCTAGATGCCCGGCCGAGTTGAGGCTCATCTTTCGGCACATCCGAGCTTGTGCCGAGGACCGCTATGGCGATTTCCTTCGGTCAGTCACATACAGTAGTGTATCGGGGTTCCTATTTCTGCGGTTCTTTTGTCCAGCAATTCTGAATCCCAAACTCTTTGGATTGCTCAAAGGTAGCTATTCTTTCCCCCTCCCACTGATCTTCATATTTCTAATGCGCGCAGATCATCCGCGCCCCCGCGCCCAACGCACATTGACACTGATCGCCAAGGCCCTGCAGGGCCTGGCCAACATGACCACCTTCGGCAGCAAGGAGCCTTGGATGGAACCCATGAACAAGTTTCTGGTCAGCAACCGCGCCGATTTCAAGCAATTCGTCGACTCGATCTGTGCTATCCCTGCCGACCGTCCCGCACCTATCGTCACACCCTCCTATGCCACCCCCATACAGATTTTGGGTCGTCTGCCCCCGACATCCCGCGAAGGATTCCCCAGTCTACCCTTCCTCATTGATCACGCGCGAAGCTTTGCCAATCTCATCAGTATATGGCTCGAGATCGCACCGGAGCGCCTGGCGGAAATGGAGGAGATTGACCCAGCCGTCAGCAAATTCCATGAAATGGCCGTTCGTCTGCACCAACGCACCAAGGAATGTTTGAGCAGAGCCGAGCAGGCAGAGCGTCCAAACGGGGGCCTTGAGGTCAAGTGGGAGGAACTGGTCGATGCCATGGAACGATCGGTGACCTTTTACGAAGACAGCTCCAAGCCTACGAGCCCGGCTACAGAGGCAGCTATCGCAGGGTCGACATCCCTTACCGGCAGCCATCGCAATTCGATCGGCTATTTCGCGTCACGGCCCTCTCTACCGCGTCGATCTACCGATTACGCTCCTGAAGCCGAGGATGACACGCCTCCCAGCTCCTCTTCTGCCACCTGGGACCAAAGTAGAGTCCCCTTCTCGATCCCGCGATGGGCAGATCCCAGGGACAGCACCGGCAGTTCGAAGAACTCTTCCACGTACTCGCTTGAATACCCCGAACCCTCGAAATCGCGCAGATCTAGCATCACCAGGGAGACAACAAGCAAGTACCGGTTCTTCGATTTCGTGCCCCCGTCTCGCCGCAAAGCGAAGGATCGGGAACAGGCTCAGCATTCGCGTGAGGAACAGCGCAACGAGTTATGACGCCCAAGTGGCCTAGGTAATACCTAGGCTTGCCTCGCTCTTGAGCTCGTGCAGTGGTGTCATGGCCTATCTGGATCATGACGATTCCAAGCATCTATCCCACATCTGTGGCTTTAGACAAAATTATTTTACCTTCTACGGCTGCCCCGCCTTCTCTACGCCCCATGAATGTCATCGGGGAAGCTCCTGCAGCGGTGATGCTTGCATGTTGCGGGCAGCCATTTCTGTGTACAACATGAGAGCTTGATTTCATGTATTGAGATCCCTGCATCTTCTGGTGTAAATTTTTCTGCGATTACATTTCTTCTCCTTTTTCCCTACCGCATGTGCCCATGATTTAACGTTCGTTTCTCCTACCACCCTCTTCTGCTGGTTTTATTTTGGAAAGCATTTGTCATGGTGTTGATACCCTGCTCTGATGGCTGTTTTTACGTGGAAAACAAGAGATCCTGTGAGCAGAGTGCCGGATATGATCTTCCATGGATGATGTATGGATTGTGGGCAGCAAAAGCCCCTCCCTTCTTGGGGGTGTTTTTGCCAGTCTACAATTGCAATTGTTGTGTAAATAGCGTCTACCTTTCCTCTGGGCATAGATGAAATGAGTAACTCCACCTTCTTAGACTTGTACTTGAGTACCGCTTAATGCCGCGCCTGAATATACTACATAATACTATCAACCCATTCTTAGGGACAAACAACTCCAATACCATACATCCAACCTACCCAACTCCCTCCCCACTGTCATGACAATAAATCTACATCCACAAACAAATCTTCCCACTCGCCGTCCCCCCCGCAACCCAATTCCTACTACGATGAAAAACAGCCACCGCCGGCACAGCCGTAATGCCCTCCCCGCCCAACTGCGCCAACTGATCCCCCTCCCCGCTATAGATATCCACAAACCGATTCATGTTTCCGATGCAGAAGCGCTGGATATGCGATTGCGGGTTCAGTTGCCACTGGGGGCGGAGACTGTCACCACATTACCATTAGCATATAAATCCCAAAAGTAAAAGAAGCGAACATTCATAGGAAAAATAAAAGAAAAGAAAGAAAAGAAAGGAAGTAGGGATAAAACAACGTACATAGTAACCCATCTCCCCGTCTGACAATTATGTCTCACGACCGTATCCGGCCCCAACTCATCCTCCCCAACCGCATGACCCACATCCCAGCTCGAAATCCCCTTCTTCTTCAAATCGTATATCTTGAGCGTATCGTCATACGATGACGTCGCGATTTGCCCCGCGCTGTTGAATGCAGCATGCGAGACGGAGAGTCGACTGTAGTGTTCTCCTACCGGGGTAGGTCCCTCATCTCCATCTGTCTTGCTCCTCCTCTTGGGCTTCTGCAGCATGCGCAAATCCCATAACCGCATTGAGCGGTCCAGACTCGCTGTCGCGAAGTAGTGCGGTTGCGTCGGGTAGAGTGAGAACCCGCCGATTTTCTTCTCCGATAGTTGCCATGTGGTTACTGTTCCTGATGCTGTGGGGTCGGTGCGGATGTCGTGTCGTCCGAAGGCCCCGTCTAGGGTTGTCCAGTAGAGGACGTTGGGGTCGTCGAGGGCCATGTCGATGCCCGAGATGGGCTCGTCCGAGGAGGTCGATTCCGGGGCGTATTTCTCTACGCTGGTGGATTTCTCGAGGTCCATGGCGCGGATCGAGCTGTCGTAGCTGGCTGTGTACAGGGTTGTGGGGGTGCTGGGGTGGATGTGCATGCTGCTGATCGTCCGGGTGTGCGGTTTTACGGTCGTTAGGACGGGGTCTGGGTCTGAGTCTTCGGAGTCGGAGTCGTCTTCTTCGGGTTTGATCGAGGTGGGTTTCTCTTGGGAGGCGTCGAGGATGCCGAGGTGGCCCATTTTGTCGCCGGCGAAGATGAGGGGTTTGGATTCCGTGGGGTGGAAGGTCATGGCGTAGACTCGTTCGGGGGTCAATTTGATGCCTGTTGTGATTGTTAACATTGTCGATGGAGGATGATAGTAGGGGAGGGAGACAGACGATTAGGTTCCCACGCATCCCAGAGCGTCAATCCATTCATCTCCTTCCTCAAAGCCTTCAAATCCTTATCCGTTGTCTTCTGGATCTCATCATCGCCAAACGTCCGCTGATAGGGTATCGCCACGCCCTTGGTCACCACATCCACTCCGATCAATCCATCCGCAGGCAGCTTCTGTCCATTCACCATGATATCACTGAACGAGAAGTTATCCGACTTGCGGACCCGTTTCGCGCGCTCCGCTTCCTGTCGCGCCTCGTACTCTTCTTCTGCTTTGCGCTTCGCGACTTCGCTTTCCGCCGCGATGCCCCTCAGTCGGGATGACATGCGCCGCGGCTGCGGCGTCTCCTCCTTAACTTTCTTCACGGGAGTCTTCTTCTTCGTTCGCGACTGGTCCTTCGCTGCTGGTTTGGGCATCTTCGGCGGGAATAGCCCCGAGGACTGCGCCTCCATGGTCAGCTTTTTGAGTAGCGCATCGCGTTCGGCGATGTTGGCTAGGCGCTGCTTTTCGAATTCGGAGATTTCGTCGTTGCCCATTTTGAATGTTTTTCTCTCTCTTACAGAGGGGGAATGTCTGTGTAGAGAGTGTTGCTCACTGCAATGACTGCTGAATGGCGCAGATGGATAACTTTGCTCGCGCGGATCAAAGGCGCGTTCGGAGCGCCGCGTGGTCACGTGTCTCTAATTGATGGGAGAAACTGCGCCGAGCGGGAGATTCTCCGACGGACGGTTGGTTCAGCTTCACTTCGGCAGACCGGTCCACCAATTGTTAATCAGTGGGAAGGTGCCGTGTATTTACAGTCTATTTCATATCGGACTGTAATCCGGAGTTGTCAAACACAATGAGTGCCCGAATCTCCCGGTCCTGGTTGGCGCTCGCAACTCGCAACTCGTCCGTCCCATTCCTGTACCAAACTCGCACCCTCACTGCCGCATACCTGTCTCCTCCATTCCGTCAGCAGTACTCGACCTCCAGCGACGCCAACGAGCAGGACCATGAAGCAGCAACAACAGCAGCAGAACCAACACAAGATGACAAACCCGCCCGTCCAATCCGGAGGAGCTTCCTACGGAAAAAGGCCGCGGCCGTCACTCAACAGCAGCAGCAACAACAAGCACCCACTAAACCAGCTCCGCAAAAGCCCGTCACCATGACCAGCACCGAGAAGCAAATTTTCGGCAATCTGCTCGAACAACTCGGCTCTGAGCGCCGCCAGCAATCCCAGACCGAGCTCACCTCATCCACACCATCCGCATCATCAACGGAATCAAAACCCACCCTCCGCGACGAAGACATGGACGAGATGGCGCAAATCTCCGCGATCTTCGACTCCGTCCTGCAAGACATGAAAGAGAAGCGCCAGCGCAGCGCGGCGCGCACCGAGCGACAGGAAAGCGAAATCGCCGTGCGAGAACAGAACACCGCCATTGAAGAGAAGCTCCAAACAGGCGAATACACCGATGACGAGCTAGCGGAGATGATATCCTCGAAACAGATCACCATGGATAGGGCCATCGAGGCCGTGATCATGCGCGAGTCCGTCAGCATTGAAGCGGCGCTCTGGGACGCTATTGATAACCGTCGCGGAGATACTGCAATCTGGGAAGTATGCAAAGAGCGGATCTTTAATATCCTGCGACACTTAGACGATGAGAAGAAGGGTCTTTTGGGCGTGAAGGACGAATCTACTTCGGAGAGTTTCCTCGCCATTCCCCCTGTCGTTCCCACTGAACCTGTCGTCACCGAACTCTATCCCAAGATGCTCCTCGTCGCGTTCAAGCTTCTCAATCTGCATCATCCCGAATCACATCTCATTAGCCAGTTCCGTGCCACGATTAAGTCTATGGGTAGGGCGTCGGCTGTTCTGGGTGGGTCCACGGCTCTTTATAATGAGTTTATTTACTTCTATTGGCGGGGGTGTCATGACTTGCCCGGTGTGGTGTCGCTGCTTCGTGATATGGAGGTGACCGGTGTGGAACCGAATCGGCGCACGTGCGGTCTGTTGCATTCGATTAAGAATCAGAGGGATCATGATCTGAGGAATCATTGGCGGAAGGCCAAGGTGGAGGGGAAGCAGGGAAAGTCGAATCGTGAGCCGTGGTGGGATTTGGCGCCGAATCGGAAGGCAGTCAGGGAGTTGTTTGGGGATGAGGGGTGGGTGAAGAAGTTGGAGGGGAGGGTGAAGGAGATTGAGAGGGCGAGGGATTATTAGGAGACTTTGTGTTGTATAGTATATATGTATGGTGCCGTTGAAAGAGACGTGAATGTAAATATACAATTGTATCACCGGAAGTAAATACCAGTAAGCAAAGCAAAGCAAGCTAAAAAAGAAATGATGTTAATAATAGTACATCCTACCACCACCCCATACCTTCTTCACCATCATATTGAAGGGTTCAGGTACCAGCTACAGCTTCAACCCCCAACTCCTCCCCAATCCCACAGCAGTTGACCCCAAGAACCCCAAACACTGCTTTACCCCAGACACCTTATCCTTCACAGCCCTCGCATCCGCCCACCGGCGACTCACAAATTCCTCGGTATCGCGCAGCCCCGCGCTCGTATCCCGCGTCATCACAAACTCCGACGACGCATACACAGCCGCCACAGCCATGCGCTTCGAGTACCACGATGCATCGACGGAAGCGTCGCCCGCTAGCGTGAGGATATCGTCCGAGAGAGCGTGCAGTTCGGATAATGAGAGGGGGATGTTTTCGCCGAGGGACATGATGGCTAGGGCCTACATGATCATTAATCATTAGCATATACACGTATCGCTACTAGAATGAAGATAGGGAGTGAGATCATACATCCTGCAACTTATCCTTCACTTCAACATTCATGCGCAACCGCTCCATAATCAGAGTCTTGATCTTGTCGTCCACGGACAGAGGTCCCTGCTGGGATGATTGCAGCAGCGCATCGTTCTCCACCTTCGAGCGGAGGAGACCCCGACGACTCGCCAGCCAGAAGAGAATCAGGTCGAATTCGCCCCGCGGGAGAAGTTGCACCGAGACGTCCAGGAAGCCGGCGTCCCGGGCTCCGAGGGTTAGGGCGTCGCGGGTGAAGCCGTGGGTCGGAACGTGGCGGAGAGCGGAGGAGAGGATGGTCGTTTGGGAGTTGGAGTATTCGTGGGGTGGGGAGGGGTGGTGGATTGAGTGGTAGGGACGGATGCTAGGGGTGGTGGTGCGGAGGCATGGTTGGTGTTGGATGGTGCGGAGGGTGGTGGTGGTGGTGGTGGGTTTGGTGGTGAGGAGAGATGTGGTTGTACGGATGGGTGTGGTTGTGGTTGTTCGGGGTGCGGCGGTTGTGAGATACCTCCGGGAGAGGGTGAGGAGGGGTTGTGTGCGAGTCATGGTGGGTGAGACAGTGGTTGTGGTTGTGGTTTGGGAGGAATTGAAGGTCGGAGATGGAGATTGGAGATGGAGATGGAAGTCGGCGGAGGATTTTCTAAGCGGTGGCCTGAGCGGAGAGCCAAGAGCTTCTTCTTCGGGATGTCTTAATAGTTAATACATAGTGACATAGTGGTATTTGTTTGGGGCCAACTCTTTGGACTGTATATTAGCTAATGCGATCAATAAGACTTGTGATTATTTGATGTAGGGGTCTGCATGGTCAATTGATGGAATTTATTGGGGCTTGTGGTGGTTCAGGGTTCTTGATTCTGTCGGGGGCGCTGAGACAGTGGCTGTCTTTAGTGTTACGGTGGATGGAGTATGGGGAGTCACAATGGGAACAACTTTGAGGTTAGCACACTCCGGTGGCTTATTGGTCAATTACTGTATAGCTCTAAGTATGATCTAGTTGATAAGTATTTTTGAAGTAATGTGGAAGTAAATGAAGGGCTGAAATCAACTGCATTGATGTGGAGGCGGTGGTGGTGCCTGTGCCTGTTGATCCTGACAAGATGATAGGCTGTCTGTGTCTGATGTTGATGGATGATGATCAATTAATGCCTCATTTACTGCCACTTGACCATCTCTTACCCTTGAATTTCCCTTGGATCCTTTTGATTCCTTCAATCTATTCCCTCTTAATTTTATTTATCAGAGAACATCCCGACCGCTCGAGCCTCCATCCCTGCCGTCTTGCTTATCCCCAGCTGCCTCTCTGTTCACACTCTGGCCATCTTACTCTCTCTGTTTCTCTCTTTCTTCTCCTCACGACTGTTATCTACTAGTGTGTTTGTTACATCTGGCACTACTCCCGTACTAACTGGACCACTAGACTATCCCTTCCTGTTACCCCCCTCTTTCCCTTTCGGATCTCCGATTTGTTCTGATAATCGTCCGTCCGTCTTGAAAGGCGATCCAGACTGTCTTCCTGTCCCTCCATTTACCTACCTTGTTCCATCACCATCATCAGCACTACCACCACTACTCCGTATACCACTACTATTCTCTTCCTTGTGATAACTAACGTATCATCTCCCTTCTACAACCCCCCTTTTTAATCATTCTTTTCTTCTTACTCCATCAAATCCAATATTATCAACATTATCATCATGGGTGGGTGATACTTTTCCTAGAATGCAACTTCTCTTTTCCCCCATGTCGGTTCCCCGGATTGTTTGTTTGTCTCTCTCGTGATCCACCGTCAATGGCTTGTCCCGGTGGACATCCAGCCCACGTTTCCCTCTTGCTTCGATCCATAATCCATACTTTGAGGCTACCTCACCTTACATTCCTGTCCCGGCTGGGAATGAACTTGTGACATGATTGCCCGGCAGACAGGATTGACTTCAACCCTGATGTGCCTCCTCCCACCCCCCCTTGTCTAGGCTGCACATACCTACCCGTATCTCTGAGCTTCCCCCCTCATCCATTATCGCACGGGTTCCCACTCCAGCAGGGGACCTCCATCCTCGTTCACTGCGCCGGGTGGACGTGCCGAGTCAGAGCAGTGACCAACCATCCCGACCATGCATCTCATTCCTCTTGCTGCGACAGCTACGCCAACCACAACCACGCTCAGTGGAGGGATGTCTGCGGATGCCTCCGGGGGAAAGGCCAATCACGCCGCGTGCTGCATGGTGTCCCGAACGGGCTGGCAGACACAGACGGACTCGAACTGCTTCTGCACTGGGCGGATGGGATGACATGGGATTGGATCTGACTTGACACACACACGGGCTGGAACAGCACGACAGTGGTCTCTTTTCTCAGCTGGTTTTGGCTTTGGACCTTGTCTCATCGTTTCTTTTTCCTTTTCTCTCTTTTCCCTCCCACCCCCCTCTCGGCCTTCCCCTTCCCTGGCTGGCTGCTTCTTACACACACGCGCACACTACTCCCACCTACTACTTACTACTGTGCTAGTAGTACTTCCTCACCCTCTCTCTCACACACACAGCCGCCCACACACACACCACACACACACTTTCTTCTGTGTCTGACTTGACTTCCCTTCCCCCCTCCCGCCGTCACCCTCCTTTATCTCTCGCGTCTCGCCTCCTCTCCATTCCTCTTTCTTCTACCTTAATTCCTCCTTCTTTCCCGTCCCCATCCCAATCTTCCCCCTCTCTTTTTTCTTTCTTTCGTACTCTGGTAATTTCCTTTCTACTGCTTTGTTCCCTCCCGACCGTGGATTCGGTGGCTTACCATCTAGGCTTAATCTTCAGCCGACGTCTATCGACCCTATCAAGTAAGTTTGCTTTCCGATCGGTTGATTCGCTTGTAGCTCTTCTTGGGAAATGGATGCGAGTTAGCGCTGTTCTTGGTTGTTTTTCTGGAAAGAAAGGACTTTCTTTGCCATTGTTGCGGGCAGCTGGACGGGGAGACAGTGAACAAAGTCCATCTCAGCTGCAAATACTAGACAAGAGTGTGGATGGGATGGGCGGTGCTCACGGCTCACGTTCGGGAATCCGTCATCCCCACTGTTTGCTGCCACTCCCGCAAGCTATCCACCCTCGTTCTTGATCTTCCACTCCGATCTTCATCTATGATGCATCTAATTTTGGGATTATTCTTTTTGGCTGTTACTTGCTTATTTCCCATACGGAAGAGATTTCACTGTCTTTTCACTTGCATCTGTCTGTTCCACTCTCTTCTCCTTTCACTGCTGGTCTGTTGGAAATGGGCTGTGTCCAGTTGCCCGTGACTTCCCCAGGGTCCCCCCGGTCTGGCGTTTGACGCTAAACCTGATTGGGGTGTCAAATCACCTGACCGGCCCCGTGTCTGGCGCAGAAACCGGAACTCGGACCCAATCCAATCCAGTCCCGTGCATTCCTGCTCCTGCTCTTCCCTCTCACTCAACTCACCTCTCATCTCTCCAATTCACTCCCCCCATCTCTCCATTGCCATTCCCCATTGCCGATTCCCCCGATTTCGTTCCATCCAACCAAGCAGCTCCATTTCCCACCCACCCTTCAGTTCCAGGGACCTTGCGCGCTGATCTCATCCAACCCACTCTTGTCTCACCACCTCTTTGCCTTTCTTTAAATCTCCACCCTCCCTCTGCCAGTCCCGCGCGCTCGCTCTCCTCCCGCCTCATGTCTCCATCTGCTTTCGACGACACTGACCACGCACAGCGCGAGAGGTCTCGTTCTCCCCGTCGTCGTTCTCGTAGCCCTCGACGCAGCCGTCGCTCTTACTCTCCCCGCAGTCGCTCTCGCAGCCGTGACGACTATCGCCGCTCCGACCGTCGTTCTCGTTCGCCTATGAGTACGACCCAAGGCGCTCCCGGTGGTCATTCTGCTTCTGGTTACGGTGGGCGCAGCAGCTACCCACCTCCCCCCCGTTCGTTCGAAGATCGCGCCGTCGCCAAAGAACAAATGATGCAAGCCGTGCGCGAGTCGTCCCAGCAAGACCGTCGCGTCTATGTGGGCAACCTCTCCTACGATGTCAAGTGGCATCATCTGAAAGATTTTATGAGACAGGGTGAGCAGGGTCATATCGTGTTGCCGGGCGTGTGATAGCGTTTGTGCGGGTCTGGAATCTGTGGCTGACTTTGGAGGGGGACGTTCCGCGCTCGAACAGCTGGAGAAGTCATCTTTGCCGATGTCTTACTGCTTCCCAATGGAATGTCGAAGGTGGGCGCCAATGCGTAGTGTGGCTGGTTTCCTTTCCCTTTTTGTGTTTCTGGATTTTTTTCTTCCCCTGTTGGTTCGCTTGTTATGGACTGTTTGGGTTGACGGGCTGGGCCTGGCCGTCCGGGATACTGTAGGGATGCGGGTGAGTTGACTTCCTTGGTCTTTGATTGTCAGTTTTGTGTTACTGACGGTCACAATAGGATTGTGGAATACGCAACCAGGGAACAAGCGCAAAATGCGGTAAACACCCTCAGCAACCAGAATTTGATGGGAAGACTCGTCTACGTCCGTGAGGTATGATGCATGACTTCCCTCCAGGACACTGAAGTCTTGATCGGAGGATACTGACAAAGCGCAGGATCGTGAGCCCGAGCCTCGTTTCACGGGAGGTCCCTCTCGTGGTGACTTCGGAGGTGGTGGTCGCGGCGGCTTCGGTGGCGGCTTCGGTGGCCCTGCCGGTGGCGGCGGCGCTGGTGGCCGTCAGCTTTATGTTTCGAATGTTGGTTTATTCCCGTCCACCATTGACATATGATATCGTGCTCGACTAGGATTAGGTATTGACGCTGGGGATGTTTAGCTTCCGTTTAATGTTGGCTGGCAAGATTTGAAGGATCTTTTCCGCCAAGCTGGTAAGTATGGGACGGCAGAGCCTCTATTCAACCGCCTTCTCTGCCTCCTCTCCGTCGCAAGCGTCTTCAGGACTGACATTGACTTCTCATATAGCTCAGCAGGGCGCTGTGATCCGTGCCGATGTTCACACCGACGCCACCGGCCGTCCCAAGGGCTCTGGTATTGTCGCCTTCGAGTCCCCCGAGGATGCCCGGAATGCCATTCAGCAGTTCAACGGATACGACTGGCAAGGACGCCAGCTGGAGGTTCGTGAGGATCGCTTCGCTGGTGCTGGACCTGGGTTCGGTGGCCGTGGTGGCTTCGGCGGTCGCGGTGGCTTTGGTGGTGGCTTCGGTGGCCGCGGTGGCTTTGGTGGCCGTGGCGGCTTCGGCGGAGGCTTCCGTGGTGGTTATGGCGGAGCTCCTGGCGGCTTCGGTGGTGCTCCTGGTGGTTTCGAGGGTGTGCCCTCTGGACCCCCTAACCCGTTCACCGATTTCGCTACCTCCGGCGGCGACAAGAGCGCTGTCATCTACGTGCGCAACCTGCCTTGGTCGACTTGCAACGAGGATCTGGTGGATCTGTTCTCGACTATCGGCAAGGTTGATCGTGCGGAGATCCAGTACGAGCCCAATGGTCGCTCCCGCGGCACCGGTGTGGTTCAGTTTGATAGTACGGAGACTGCGGAGACTGCTATCGGTAGGTTTTGTGATTGCATCCGCAGAAAGACATCTACTAACTTGCATTACAGCCAAGTTCACCGGCTACCAGTACGGCGGTCGTCCCCTGGGCATTACGTTCGTCAAGTACATGAACGCCGGCCCCGGGCCCGGTGATGTTGCGATGGACGGCACTGAGCCGACTGCTCCGATCACGCAGGATCAGATCATGTAACACTATCATATGATTTGCTTTTTCTTTCGGGAGGACATATCGAGGCCGAAAAAAGTTTGCGATGTAACACTCCGGATCGAGAAAAGAATGATCTGTTGGCGCGGGTTCGCGTATGCTGCATTTTGTTCCATACCAGGCATACCTTATGATTTGTTTTTCTTCTTATTACTATCGGGCATTCTATTGTTGTTTCATTTCTCCGACGATCTGGTCTGGCGGGGACGCATCGGATGTTGTTCAAGCTGAAATTGCAAGCGGATGGCTTCTGGTGGATTTGATCCTTTGCGTTTGGACGGTTGCCCTAGCGAAATTGCTGCACTGGAGGGTTTGACCCGTTTGATTGTTTGACTTGTAGGCTTGTAAGTGGTAGGCTAGGACGGAGATACCCGACTATACATAGTAGTGACTGTATTGGAGTTATCATTATGTTTCAAGCTATTTGCAGTGGCTCTTTCGGTTCACATTTTAGATTTCTGAAAATTACACTCAGCTTGTCTACTAGGGTAGTAAATTGTTGCTCCTAATCTAGTTTGTCACCAGTAGAACAGTAATTCGAGTAGCCCATTCTTCCCACGGGAGACATGAATGAACTATACTACTACCTATGAGCAATGGTAATAATCCTTTGAGGATGACCACATCCAGTTAAGTTGATGAAGTTGTACCTCAACTTCTCAGATAAAAATATTGTCCAAGAGATCCCTGATTACTTACTAACTAGTTATTTCTTGCCTACTCATTAGTTATAGTAGGAAGTCAAGATACAGTTCCGTCTGCTTTTATCGTCTACTATTTATGTGCTATTCGTGTCAGGGCTGATAGTTGGATCTTACTACCGTCGTGGCTACTTAGCTTGTGACTCTATTATCTGTCGATGGTACTGTTTAGACAGTGATATACACAGGAGGAGGAGGAGGAGGAGGAGGAGGAGCATAAAACGGGTTTATTCAGCAGGGTTTGATGCAAGCACATACTATGGATCAATCCATTCTATCATATACAAATCTTTCCAAGAACTTCTTATGATAGCTCATTACAGTAGAGGTTCATCAATTCAAATTGATACTGGAAAATAAGAATATGATCCTTCTAAGCAGCTGACAATAGCCAGGCTTGAAATAGATAATAAAATAGATAATTATACTAGTAACAATATAAACCTACTTAGTTACTTCATTCAAATCCTTCAAATTATCTATTCACTTTAAAATCCTTTTTTTTTCATATAGATCATCTCTTTCTTCACTCCCTTATTTCAATTCCTGTGAAAATGCTCCTCCAAAGGGTCCGGCTGAGAAAGATTTTTTAGCTCTTCGTCTTCTCTCCATTGCGCTTTTTTCTCTTCTGCTTCCTTTTTAGCAGCCTCCTCCTCTTTCTTCCACTGCTCAATGTCTTTCTGAGATTTACATGAAGATCGCCGGTTGTCTAGTTAAATAGTAATATTGATAGTTTATAACTAATATATAGTCTGGCTTGTTCCTACCACTCGGAGTCCCCCGCGTCTCTTTTCCCTACAAGCAAAGCGTCTTGTGCCTCTGCGGCCTTTTCCTCTTCTTCTGCCTTTTTCTTAGCAGCATCCTCTTTCTTCCACTGCTCAAATTGTTTCTAATAGACGTATAATCATGCCAGTAGTCTGTCTGTCTGTCTGGAATTCGAAGATATCCAAAGCCTCAAGCGATAGATATTTCTGAAGTATATATATAATAGATAATATACTACTTAGTTACTTACGTCCATGCAATGACCATCACAATTAACTTTTTTGCAGTTGGTACAAGGGTCGGGTCCAGCGACGCAGTTGCATACTTTTTTACCGTCCTATATATATATATATATGTTTCCCCAAATTGTTAAAAAAAAGAAAAAAATCATATTACAATTGAAGGTTAGATTTGGTAGATTCCATCACTTACACAACTAAGGCAGCGTTCCCTTACATTTTCATCACCAATCCAAACCCATCCTGGATTAAAACCACTGCCGCGGCATCCATGGCATGAGTGCTGTGGCATGATGGTAAGTTATATATATATATATATATATATATATATAAAAGAAGAATTAGTGAAGAAATGAAAGAGAAAGAGGTAGTAGATATGGCTATAACGAAAAGAAAAAAAAGAAGAAAAAAACCTGCTAGAGGGGGTCAGGGGGATGGGGGATTTCACTCGCTTAAATAGATGTAAGTAGATGGATCGATATACTTCCCCCCCAACCTCTTCCCCCTCCCCCACCACAGCTGAGCGAGGAACTTACGTCTTTTGCACTCTCTTCAGCTCAGCTCAATTTTCGCAAATTGAACCCAACTGGTCATGTTGCAGTTTCAGCTATCACAAGTTGCCCCGCATCATCTCGTTGCCTTTTGACGATCTGCTCCGATATAAGCTAGTCTAGTACTACTAATCTCAGATACGCTGTCCCGATGCACCCACCAAACCTCAACCTCAGCCACGCGCTAGTCTAGATAGTTACTAGTTAGTTAGTACGGAATATATACCCGCAGACTTCCGGTCAACGTGTTGGGTTTTGGGATCATGATACCATCACTATCTATACTAACTTATAGACATGATATATAGAATTGAAGGGATTAAGTTGAGATTATACTACTAATTGAAGTGTTGAACTCCCCGCAGCTCAGCACCTCTTTATAATAATGAAACCCTATTTCAACAAACCTACACGATCTATTGCCCCATCCACATCCACATCCACATCCCCATTCCTCACTCTCTAATACTATCTAGTGAGACTGTGAGCCACATCCCCGCCAGCTGATTATCACACTGAATCCGACTTTTCTCGAAATTTTCTCTCTCTAAATGCCTACCCCACTCGGGATTCTTCAGTAGACTGGCACTGGCTACATTCAATTAGACTTTATCCTAGTACTGGCGGTGAGATGTGTAAATCAATGACAGGCTGCAGAGTATGCAAACAGGCACGCTTTGATCCCCCCTCAGAATCCTTCAGATGCAGTGGCGTGTGTGGTCAGATGGATACTCACTCAGCCTTTCACCTACCATTTATCTACTAGTAGTGTAGATAAATTTGCACTACCTCCACTTAGATCTCTTCAGTATTTTGGTACGGGGTCCACGTTGATGACTCGTAGCGAAAATGTATTGGTTAGAATCAGATAGAGATGGATAGCGGGCTAAGCCAAAAAAGACCTAAAGATCGAAGATCGAACTTCCTGTTCGGTTATGTTCTGTTTAATATACAATCGGAGTTGATATCCGGGGATGAGTATATGGCAATGTGATTGGTTGAAGTATGTGCCAAGCTCAGTTTTGGCGATTGAATAATCACGTGAACAAATATTACTCCGTAGATAGTAGGATCGAGAATAGATAGGTAATGGGTTCATGGTCAATCATGCATGCATGTCCATTGACAGGCATCTTGGCTGGCTTATGAGGGGGGTCTTGCTGTCTATAGTAAGTATTCCAGAGATAAGTAGCCAGGGTTTTCTTTGAGGCGGGAGGGCAGTCTTCCACACCACAGCTAGTGTGATATATACATGTATTAGACATGGGTATTCCAAAATTATACTATGTATAGTAAAAAAGCTGGACAATCAATATTATTATTTAATTGATGGAGAAAATAAAGCAATCTATTTATGGGAAAGGAATGATTGACAGAGATACACAAGCCATAAATTGAAACGATCAAAAATCAGAAGAAACAAAGGAAGAGACAGATCTGAAGCATAGTAGAAATCATATAGAGCCCCTATATCAACGACAAACACCCGTCCGTCTACTCCCAGGCTAATACCCCTCATTCATCTTCAGCCCCTCGCAAATATGTCCTCCGCAACTTCCGTGGCTTGTATTCACCATCACTACCCTCGTCAACAGCTTCCTCTTGGTTCACTCCCTCCTTCCCTGCGGTATTGGTGTGACCCTGCGCGACATAAATGGGCTTATCGCCAGCAGCAGCCCATCGAGCCCGAGCTTTGGGCCCCTTGGGCGCCGTCAGAACCCTTGCGGTAACGATCTGGAGAGGAGGCCGAGATTGCCAACCATTGGTCGCTACAATGTCATGATAGCTGTAGTGCGGGCGCGTCACGATGAGAACCCGAGCACCGTGGTGAGGCATGAAGCCGACGTGAAGGATATGATGATCCATGTTATTGGCATGGCGATCAAAGGTCGGAAGGTCAGGCAGTAGTTCAACTACAAGATTGCCAAACATATCGCCTTGGAGACTGGTGAACTGATGGGCAGCTTCCTCTAGGACTTCGCGAGTTCTTTCTTCGCGTATGGCCTGATCTTTCTCGCTCAGTGAGCCTCGGAATAAGAGCTGGAATGGCTGGCTCGCTAGCAGTTCGTCTCCATACGCCTTGAGGAGGGCCTTCCGGCGTTCCAGTGTCGCATGAAGGAGTGGTGTGGGAGGAGGATTGGACACCCATTCTGAGCCTCTCATCATACATACGCTCACGAGGGTCGACTTCCACCAGGCAGCGTCTTTGGGCAATGCTATGCAGAAGGAACAGAGGAAGGGGTATAAGTCAGCGACATTGACTCCACAGTGCGGGGAGGAAAGAAAGAGGGTGGGGGAGGACGAAGGGGTCTTAAATCTTACTTTTTTTGAACCTCTCATAGACATAGTTAAGTCGTTTGCAGAAGTTGTCGTCGCCTTCCTGGTCAGTAGCATCCATTTTTGCATCCATGAATCGGAACGTAGAGGCGGCAAATTTATCATAAATGAACTTATTCATCATGGTTTCCAATAAAACAATACCAATCTCAGCACGACCGCCAGGGGGAAGAGAGGAATATATACTGTCCCAGTCATCCTGGACGCAAAAACCATCCAGACTTGCAATGATTATCTGTTTGTTATTATCAGAGAGACAGTATATTGACTTGCTTTTACTCCATGCCATGGACCAGCCCTGGACGCGTAGAGTAAGTAAACTAAAGCTGTTGTGGACTATTTCCGGAGCGGACTGTATATAAGGTCATGTAAGTATATTTATCATGAAATAATGTTTTATTATATTATGATACTCTTCTTGTTAATAGAGATACTTTCTGTTGGGGTATACAGCTGGTTTCTTTTCCTTCTCTTATATGTCCAGGGGAGGATGCTTGGGCGGCATTTGCTTTTTCCGAGTAGTGACTATACTGGTTGTTGGTCGGGTGGCTTAAGTGGTTGAAGTTAGTCCAGTAGAGGAGATAGTCCTGGGTTGGCCTGGGGGAGGGGAGGTGGGAAGAATGATGAGGTGAAGGAGAAGGAAGGAAATGGGAACAACAGTAAAAGGAGGAGAAACCGAGCATCTTCAAAGAAAAGATATTCGGCTTGAAGAGTTCTCTCTATTCATTCATCATGTATTCTTTCAATCAGTTCTATCCGTTCGTTTCCAAGCTTCTTCGCTGCTCATTGGCCCTTAGGGCTGCCCGGCTCTTTGTGAGCCATCGCCCATATTTCAGCCGCCTGAGGGTCTCGACCGCAACAAAACACCATTCAACTAAATGGCGGATATTTGGTTAAGACAAGAAGAGGAACATGCGTAAGCATGAATATGACAGAGAGACATACGGTCAGATGAGCTGAAGTGACAAAAGAAAGCCATTCTGAGGCCTCATCCATTGAGAGCAGCAGTGGTACCAGCGAGTGTCCATTGAATGGGTGTGAATACTACTCACAACTTGAACAATTAATTAGGGGATGCAGTGATAATATAATTGTGACCCCGTCACAACTATAAGATACACAGATCAAGGCCGTGGCACGCATCGATCATCCAGCTGACAATTCAGTTAGGACTTCGATAAGTTACGGGTGAACCGAATCATGGCCTTCACCTCCCAGACTGCTATAAAGTCATCCGGTATGTATCGCCCAGACGCCGCTAGTTATGGTCTTTGGATATAAGCTAACCTGTCCCAAGCTTCTTCAAGTCTTGGGGACATGTATACTAAGTCGGTTGACATTGCTGTTGTACTAGTCGTGCAGGCGAGGGAAACGATAGGATAGAGAAAATAGTTAACTACTGTTGAATTTAAGTAAGCACTCTGGTATGATGCGCACACTCCATGGGGATCCGATACTGTGGGATCGACAATCATTTGGACGACTTGGTTAAGAAGGACTCTAAGACGGGATGAGACTTATACTTCCTTCAGTATTTTTATGGGATCAGGGTAGGCTTAGCTGGGGTTTCTGTTTAGCTTTTTCTCTTGGGACTAGCTATGTATGTATCTATTGGCGATGGAGAGATGTATTTCGCGAATGGTCCAACGGTCATGGGGGAAATCACTTGTAGGTCAGTAAGTTGCTTTGCTTGGCATCGTTAGAAGATTAAGAGGAATGGACTTGGGGTTGTGTCAATTGGAGGTCGATATCTTGATCTTCTATTAAGTTTAGATAGCATGTTGAAATTCAGTTCAGTTCATTCGTAAGCTATATAGATAGATATCCAAAGTCCTGATGAAGGACAAACGATCCGTGTGTTTGTTTGCATGCATCCATCCGAGGATTCAAACTCCCGACGACCAGACCAGGTTCAAAAACAAGCAAAGCAATAAGCATGCGAAATATAGCAGACGCAGAAAGAAAGCTCAGATCAACCAGCTGAAGCAAAAATAAGATGAAGACCAAAAGTTCAAATGGTGGGGGAATATTGTACAGAGAATTGAAGAAACCAGGCATCGCAAACGGTGCATAAGTGCAAGAAGTGAAAAAAGAAACATGTCCCAGCCAGTTATCCAGAATTGATCCAAACGCCTTGATCAACCAACCGTCCATCCGGTCCGTCCATCCATCCGTGGACCGGTCACCACCACCTGTCACATTGCAAACGCCGAAAAGTGATATGTCAAATATGGTAGGGGCGCAGCTAGTAGGCTCATTGCCTGACTTCAGCGTTCCCGGTTTTGGAAGTGAGTATTCTTCCTTCCCATGGAAGAGATCATCACATCCACATATGCATGCGTGAGAATAATGTACATAGGAAAGTAACAAAGGAAATCAACAAAGGAAATTGGTGACATAGGAAAATAGCAACACAGCGCCGGAGCACAGTCGTTGCTTATGCAGCCATACCGGTTGGAGGGTAATGGCCTGGAATCTGTAGTTCAAGCGTCGACACACTATTCTTGGACTGCGGTGGAGGACGCCTGAGGCTTCCGGTTTGCGAGGCAGCCGCCGAATCGGTTGTGACAGGTCCAGCCAGTGGCGTCCGCATTGAGCCGTCTACCGAAGCCGCCGATTGCTGCTTCGTAATGCCCACACCGTCGTCCACCAAGGTGTCATCTTGAGCGTCAGACTCTTCCCGTTCATCAATCGACGTGGGCACGGTGGTATGAGTGTAGTCGGTTACATTCGTCGTTGTTGGTGCGGTTGATGTGCTCTCGCCGCGCTCCCTCTGGCGGGTCAGAGAAGGGTCGCGAGAGTTTGTGGACCCAAGTCCCGCCACATATAAATTCGTGGTACTCCCTCGATCAGATCCGACTCTTTCCCGGTTGTCGTTCGAGTTTTGGGTGTGTTGGCCAAACTGTCTCTGTCGACCGCCATCTGACGTGCTCATCCAGCTGCCATAGTAGCTATCGTGTCTCTCCACTGGAGCTGCAGCAGCAGCACTGCCAGCACGGTTCTGGCCCATCTCTACATCATTGCTAAATGAATCCCGACCGTCAGGTAAGGAGCCGGCTGCGGCTAGAAGATCTCTCTCACCAGAGCTCTCACCACTAGAGGGTGACAGTGGAGCCTCCAAATGGCGGTCTATTTGCACGTCACTGGGGAAACGCCCGCCCGGTTCGCGAGGCTGAGACGTCGGACGTTCCTGGTGCAAGACTGCGGACTCTGCAGAGTACGGTGTGCGGTCTGCTTCGTCTTCATCCATCCCATCACTGCTGTTCCGCCAACTCATGCCACTCACAGTTCGAATATGCTGCCTCACATATGCATTCCGAGCCTCGCCAGTCTTCGAGATGAGGCTCTCGATGTCTTCATACCAGGCCATCATCGTATCGTGCGATTCCGCACGGAAGACCCAGGAATGACCCCGGTGCATGGTCCCGGTTTGACGCCCCTTGAGCATGAATTTGTGCGACGTTGAGTCTGGCTGCGAATGCGAACCCAACTTCTGCTCGGGAAGGTTCAATGACATCACCGGTTGTTGCCATGCGACTCGATCGGCAGACTTGAACTCGTGAAGATGAGTAGGAGACAAAACATACCTACTCAGGTCAGCAAAATTCATTCAAGGACACATGGGACCTTCATCCCGAGTGTTACTCACCAGCCGGGTGTATAGCTCTTGAGGTACTTGCTTTTGCGCTCCAACATCCCGGATCGGACCTCCACTGCCGCGGGATGATCCCTACCCGGATATGTGATATTCTCCACATCGCGAAGAGGAACGCGCGGATCGACCAGTTCATCCGTGTTCGCGATGAAGGAGTTCCACTCGTGATCGTGAGGCATGGAAATCGGCCCCGCGCGCAGTTTTTCGACGGTGTCATATGTCTCATCTGCTTCACGCTTGAGGATGCTGGCATATGCGTTATATGCTTTCTGTATCTCGCCTACAACGATGGACTCGAGCTCGCGACCAGAATGTTCTAGGTTCAAGAATGCCTAGAAAACGTTAGTGCTCCGCATCCTACAAGTTTGCTAACGAACCACATACCCGGTGCAGGTAGTTTTCCTCTTCGATTTGCTTCTCAATTTGCCTGTCCACGCCCAGGCGAACGATGAAAGGATCGCCTCTCCCAGAGGTTGCAGAAGGGTCGGTGTCAACCAAACCCAGCGCTTCGTGCAAGTGCCGAACCGTTTTGCGGGTGGCGTCGACTTCCTTCTCCACGGAGTTGCGGAAATCACCAGAGAGACCCCTAATTTCCTTGGTCTTCTTCTGCAGATCGTTTCGCAAACCCATCAGCTGGTTCACGACTTCGCTCTCCACCTCCGCGGCTTTGTTCGCTTCCAGGTATCCTTGTCGGTGAAAGTCGCGCAGAATGTCGGTCGCATCGGACAGACCACCGGACTTGAGGAACGTGGGGGGAAGCGATGTGTTCTGCATGATATTGGATGCTGATAGGAACAATTTCGATCGGGTTTCGTAGGACTTCTGCACTTCCTTGAAGAAGATAATGAGATCCTTCAGGACCTTGCGCCATGCTACCATGAATTAGCACACCAGAGACCCAAAATCGGGGACAACATGCTGAAATACCTTGAAAGCGATTGGCCAGAACCTCAGTCGGGCTTCCATTCGTGGGAATAGGAACATAGAAAGCGCTGTTCGGATCTTCGCCATCGGCGCCATACTTTTCTTTGTCACCCAGGACCAGGCTCCGTACACTGCCCGCGCGCAAGCTGCGCTTGCTACCGCTGCGGCGCATACTGCCCCTCTTGCTGAGGGATGCTTTCTTCTTCAATGTACTGGTCCGGGTCGGGGTCGCGGAACGGGTTTGTGACATTTGGGAAGCAGATCGCTGCATGCCGGATGGACCGTCTACCGAGTCACGCTGACTGGCGACATCGAATTCCTCGTGGAAGCGGCCGTTATACGGGTGGGAGGTTGGTGCCTCAGGATTGGCGCCGTGCGCAAGGTAACCGGAGGTGCTGGCGACGATCGAGTTCGGCCGGGAGCTAGAGCGCGTGCTGTACCCGCGATTTAACAGCAGATCGGGGTGGTGTGGAATAGAGCCGTAAGTGTCCTGCACTGGCGTTTGCGACCTAACGGCCATAGCCATGGCTGAACAGGAGTAGGGGAAGGGGAGGGAAGAGGGGGAGGGAGGAAGAGGAGGAGGCGGAGGAGGAGGGCGGTGATGTGACGGACAACGGAGAGGGTGGTAGCAGTTGGGAACAATCGGGCGGTGCAGACCTGGCTAGGCCCGTGTGTCGATATCGAGCGACCGGGTGGTTGCAAGCTTGGGTGCAAGACAGTTCCGGATGCGGGCGGCCGTGATAAGAATATAAGGGTAAGGTCTGATAATATATCATGAAACGCGATATAAAAAAAGAAATGAGAATAGGAGGGGAGAGAAAAAAAGGAGAGAGATCTGAATCCACCACCCCGGAACGAATCACGACGGATCTAGTTTGGGGGGAGAGGAGAAGGGAGACAGGATAGTACGGAGTAGATAGTAGTAGTGGTAGTGGTAGTAGTGGTAGTGTCAAGCAAGCCTAGCCGTGGTTACCAGGGCGAATTGGGGGGAATCAAGCAAGTGGAAATTAGCGACCAGCCGGAAGTGTCTCGACTCTGGCCCAAAGGGTCTGGGGCGGACTGTTTGCGGGGGCAAAAGAGCCAGCAACAACTCCTATCCGTCCGGTGCGATGGTGCTTGTCGTCGTCGTCTGCAAGTCGGTGCACCAACACAGCAAGTAGTGAGGAAAGGACGGGTTAGCGGGTGAGACTAGTACGATTGCGCTCGCAATAGTGGCCGGAGTAGTCGGTGCAGGAGCAGGAATAATCAGCAGCCGATCAGAACGCGTCTCGGGGGTTATTATTTAGTTTCCCAGGGAGATTGGGCCCCACCGGGTCGAAAGGACGAGGGAAGAGAGGAAATGGATCCCAGAGTAATAGTAAGTAATAAGGGAAGCGGAAGCCAAGTGGGAGTAGTACGTAGTATAACAACTACTAAGTACTGAATGAGTGAGGGTAGGGGCAGGGGAGAAGTGTAAGTCAGTGACAAAAGATCCGGCGGCAGGTAGATCGACAATATAGTTGGTAGTGGAGGGATCCAACTCATCCACAAACAGAATGTAAAACTCAGGAGAAAGCACGAGAAATCCTCCGATGCAAGTTCAACTGTTTCTCTTGCTTGTTGCTTCGTCGCGATAAAAGGGGGGGAAATGATGGAAGCTATAATTCAAGTGCCGGTTCCGGATGACGTCTACGCCGGACAAAAGCACCCAGTTGTTTGGTGAAAGTCTGCGACGGTATGACGCCCAAAGGTTGGAACGGAATCTCCGGGCCCGACTTGACTTCACCAGATCCTTGAACTAGAACCAGCCAGACACACGAAGAGTCATGCAATCAGAGCTGAGAGATCGGGGTAGTCGCAAAGTAGTTGTAGATAGTTTGCTTGTGATCGTGGTCGATCGGAATGGTCTCCTTTTCCAGAACAGGACCACAGATGATACCGCATTCGTCGCTAATTAGAGTCGACACTCTTAAGAATAATACTAGTAGTATAAAAATAACCTCCCCACGGAAATGAAGAGGAAATAAATATTAATAAAACAGAAGGATCTGCTCCTAAGGAACAGACAGACAGACAGGCAGGCAGGCAGATAGACACTGTTTGTTAGTAAGTAGTATTGCTGGGGAACTGGAAGTGGGTTTAATGCCGTTGCCTGTTCCCTTGTTCAGGAGAGGCGAAGCTGGCAAGTCATCGTCATCACTTCCCCTCCGCCAACATCATCACAGTTCGTATCCCGCCCAAAATAATCATAAAGGGTCCCCAGTAGTAAGCTGGTAGTAATCGTGAACTACTGATTGTTGAGTGCCTCCCCGCTAGGAAAATCATTCTGCCTTTCATCCTTGCTGTTTGAGAAGACAGTAGTGAATCCTACCGTGCAGCACCACTAGTAGCAACAACTCAGTGAATGGCAGCAGATTAATTCAAGGCCGGACTGAAGGAGTGGCTTGTTCATCGGTCTGCACTTACCTCTTCTGGACAAGCAAGGCTGGTGGGTGTGGCTATGCTTGCATCTGACTGGCTGAACGGGCAAATTGCTTGGCCGGGGATTGTCCGCTGGGCCAATCACTCTCCCCAATACATACTCATCTAAGCGGAAATGGCAGTCATCATAAAATAGTAAATTCATCCACATAGTCCAAAGTATCATTTTGTACCCTCTCCACTGAGTCCACCAGCCCGCTCATCGGGGGGTTGGCTTTTCTAGCGCCGGCGCGCAATCGTTCTTCATGGCTTCGATGGAGTTCCCCCTTTTCCCTTCCCTAGGTTCCCTTACCCCCCTCCTACCTTGCCCCAACGCGGTGGCAACTGTCTCTCTCGCGAACTGCACGTAGAGAAAGAGGGAAAAAGGAGGCTGTCGGGCCGATCGTCGTGGTTCTTGTCTTCCCCTTTTGGGTATCGTCAAGGCAGCAAACCAGAAAGTCCGACACCAACTTTGACCCCTCGACGTCATGCACGGTTCATCATGTTCATGTCGATCCGGATGGATTTCCTGCGATGGGGTTCGACATTGGGATTTTCTTTTCTAGTGTTGCAGTACTTTGTACGGGTACACCCACACACACCTTGCCTCTTAACTTGCTTGCTTATTTACCCAGCTGAACTGCTGTGGCTCAGAAATTCATATCCAAGTTAAGCGTCGAACTTAAATTCTTCAAAATGTATTTCTAACGCAATCATGAGCCCACCGGCAATCTCCATATCAATATATTTGACGTAGCTCACTACTGTACGAGTACTAGAATGTTGCGAGTGTAATCTGCATTGCTGAGATTAGGGAGTAGTTAGCAGGGTCGACGGTTGGTCCAGATTTAGTAGCAATCTAGTACTCCATAAGCCAGCCAGCACTTACATACATACATACATACTGGGTAAATGTATTATGCATAGCGTGCAAGTGATCAGTAATGGCAAACAGACTATTTCTGCCACCTTACTAAGTAGTTCTTATTCATCACTTTTCAATGATGAAGCTATCCAATGAACATTGACCGACGGAAACATCAAACCATATCCCAGCTGCTGATCCGATCAACTCCGGCTGGTTCCAACCTTTAAAGGGGGGTATTTGGTTCCCTCCCTCCCCGGGGGGAAGAAAGGTGATATCATATTTTCCCCTGCATCTGATTATCGTGCACACCCCCTTGTATCAATGTCAATAGATTGACAGAAACCACCACAACGTACTATTGCTCACACTTTCCCCCCCTCCCCCAGCACCGTAACACCAGTCTCATACTACTCTACTCCGCGGCTGTCCTGCAGGCTGTCCTTCCTGTTATTTACCTTACTTGGTACTTCATTGCTGACCTGCCCGACCAAACCAAACTTGAAACATCGTCTTTTTACAAAGTACATGGTATCTATTTACGTAGTGCAGGGAGAGAGAGTATAGTAGTTCAATTCATGTTCTGTGTGACCAAAGTGCCACACCCATTTTGCCTGAGATTGGATAAGCCGGCCGTGTGATTGGCTGACAGACTGGCGGGTTCAGCTGCCCTCCCCGCCTTTCGCCGCTTCGATCCCAGCAGTCAGCCGGTATTGGTGGTATCAACTTATCGGCGGTGTCACTGTCACCTGCTTGTGCTTTTCGTCTTACTTACCGATCTTATGGAATATTTTACAGGGAAGTGAAGCGTACAGTAAGATGGGGAGAAAAAGCAAACTTGCATATTGCCCCTACGGTGAACAAGTTGTATAGTAGATGATAGTTTGAGTGGTTTCTGAGATGAGTTGTTCTGTGTCTACTGACCGGGCACCTGATCTGTCTCTGCTGAGCTATGCTATGCTATGCTATGCTTTGCTTTGCTTACCCCTCGCCTCTCACAGCTTGGCTGCTCTCGGTGAACAGATCATGCATTTGATGCTATGTAGAGGTACTAGCTGGGTGTACTGTATCTATTTTCGGAAAATGTAGCCGGGCGGTGACCCGTGTAGTATTTCTTTGATGTAGAACAGAAAATGGAATCTTCATTGGTGGAGGTGCCATGTCGGCTAGCTGAACGGCATCGACAGAAATAAGAAAAGATGTAGTAGTAGTTTTACACAACGAGACTAAGAATTGAGGGACTGCGCAGGAGAGATATCTAACAAAACCATGTTCATGATGCCGGAGCCGTTGTGGGAACCTCGATACCGTATGCCTCCTTGATTCTCTCCGCCCGTCTCTCGGCGTATCCGGGGCCATAGATACCTGTGTAACCGGATTAGCAACCTCGTGGGTTCTCTTCCAGCAGAGGGCAATCTGCCTCCAACAGAAGAAAGACGTACCTCGTCCCTCGCCCAATTCGGCAAGAGTCTGCTCTGCGGGGATTCTGTATGTCTTCCGGAGCTGTTCCCGACGCTCAAACTCGTCGATATCGGTGTTCTTCTTGTGGCCGAACAACGATCCACCGGTGTATTCGAAAGCGCCCGTGGCGGTGGCCAGAGCGACGCCGTAGCCCAGGAGGGCGGGGAATGTGCGAGCTGCGGACCTGTCAGAACCAATGTTTGATCAATTGAACGGTCGGATCGCGGGCAACAGACCTCGGAGACCCAGGATGGCGCCGGAGAAGAAACCTCCCAGAGCGACGTTCCAGTGGTCTTCCTTCTCACGAAGGTTGGCGGATGCGGTCTTCACGAATTCGTAGGTACCTCCCATGGCGGCTGGACGCGAAAATCGTTAGCAACCCATTGAATCCAGAACATATATGCTAGGCGTCCAGAATTGCATTCATACCGAAGATACCGACGGTACCACCGCTCCGGATGAACACGCCCAGCGGGCCGACGTTCTGTCTGGTGAGGGTGTTCTGGACGGCCGAGGCGAAAAGACCCGCTCCACCAGTGAGCATAGTGGTCTTCATCGATGCCGCGATCGCATCCTTGGGGTGGTAGTGCTCTTCGTGGTGCGGAGCCATGGTGGCGGTTGAGGAGCTGGGGATTAAGCTGTGGCTGTCACTCTCGAATGTCGTCCGGACGGAGATGAGATTCGATGAATTTGGGACCTCGCGCTTTCTGCCTCAACAGACCGCCTTCCCCAGGTTCCCAGCTTTCCCAGTCCGTTTGACCAGAGCATCTGATCTATGCCCAAACCTCTTGATTACCTCCCTTGGCGTGCGGGCATCATTCTCTGTCACCTCCTGCACGCTTGGTGGTTGTCTTCTATCATTTTTAAAGCTGTTCGCGTTGAGAGTGGCGGGTCGTTCGCTGGGAACTTGCCGCCTGCTCTGCCTCACTTGCTGCAGTGACTCCCCGCTGTTACGACGATCTAACGGTCCAGCTTTCTGTTTCCAATAGAATCGAATGTGTTCGATACAATAACGTGGATCATCCCTGCAAGAGAGTCGCGTCGTTATTCTTCCTTTCATTTCCAGACTTTATGTGGATAACCTCACAAATAGCTTTAGAGTTCGTTTGCTAAGGTTCGCCGGCAACTGTGAGCTCATAAGAGCCTACCCATGTCGTCTCCGCAGAAGCCTGGTATGCATCACAGCCTCCTATAATCCGGATCACTCTCCCAGCGTCCTGGGCACCTGCAGAGAATGCGCAGTTGGACTAATAATTATCTCCTCTTCTTCTAGGCAAGACTGCCCCGCGTCTTGTGCAAGATATCCACGACTATGACCCTGTTCATCCTCCAGGCTCCGGCCGCAACCTGCTGTCGGAGGTCCCCCCGGTCTTCCCCGATCACTATATTGGACCGTCAGAGTTCATATCGCCTTCAGCTTGCCGTCACACTTATGTGATCAAATCGAAACAAAGCTTCCTACCAAAGCCAGAGCAGAGAAGCAGCTCAGGCAACCCCACCAAAGTATCAGCGATATGCTCCAAGTGCCGATACCATCTGCAGCTGGTCGTGACATCGACACCTGGGATCGGCAGCCAGAGTGTGCCGGGACACATACACCATCTGGTATATAAGTCAGGGAGGCAGAGAGGAGGTGCAACGGCAGAAGAAATTACACCCAAGGGCCAGGTGGCGGAGACTTTCCATTATGACTGCTCCTACCTCACTTGTCCAACGACTGTGTCCGTCAGGATTGTGTCTCCTGTGCTACATCCGGAATGGGTACAGCTGTTGACCGATCCAGAGTTGCTGCAGCAGCGAGCAGATGAGGCGATTGCAACACACCCCGAGCGCCTGGAAGGGATAGCTCGGCCGCAGCCCATTAATGTCTTGGAAAACTTGCGCACATATATCATCAACGCCTTCAATCCCAGTCAACAGGGTAAATCCATATCAGCGATCAACAAGAGGTTCATGGCGTGCTTCGGTGTTGAAGGCAAGCCTTGCAAAGACCTGTTGGAGTTTTTGGGTTTCTCTGTCAAGGTCTGTATATGCCTGCCGATTACTGCGACATTGAAACCTAACTCTACATAGAACGAAGGTTTCTGGGAGCCTCCGCGCCCCAACGCCTGGGCCGAAGTCCCCTACCAGGATCAACTCAAAATATTCCTCGATGATGTTCTACATGAGCTTGCTGTACTCATCGAGCAGAGGCCAGTACTTGAGAAGAAGGGCCACCAGGTTGACTTCTCATATCAAATAGCAAAGAATGACCTCTTGAGTGCTCTGGAAGCATTAGACTGTAGGTCAAATCACCACTCTTTTGAAGGCCGCATGCTTACCAAGCTCCTTCAGACCAGAAGGCTCTCAATGTCGACTCATTCGAAATGCCCCCTGCTCCGTACGTGCTACACGGACTTGACCTGTTGACGTCGACTGACAAAGGTTTAGTTATTACGAAGATCTGGGCGTTGTGGAAGACATGTCTGCGCAATTGATTATTGAGGCGTTCAATCGCCAGGTTGCCGTAGACCCTGGTCGCATGCCCACATACCTGAAATGTCTCAAGGCGATAGGTAATCTTAGAGGGGGCTACGAAGCTGAAGCCATTGACCAGGCCGTTCAAGTGGCTTATGCCGACGGCAAATACACTGATGACGATGTGATCAATGCTTACAAGTACTTCGGTTTGACCCATGACGATCCGCGGCTTACCGAGGACAGCATTATTGGGACCTTCCATGCTTACTTGAGCTCCACCACCCAGGAGACAGAATCGCGCAGAGAACTGTGGAAGATTGGAGACAGTAGGCGTAGCGAGCGTATAAAGTCAGCGGCCGAAGATAGTGAGATCTCCCACAGCGAGCGTTCGAGATCTGCAGCTAACAGGGCAAAGGAGTGGCAACTGTTGAGCAAGCGCAAGTTTACCTTGGTGTGAGCGAAGAGACAAGCGATGACTTCATCATGGCCATGTATACAGCTAAGGTAAACGCCGCCAATTACTAATCCATGTAAATGTGCGCTGATGTCCTTTTCAGGTCAATGACACACCATCAAGCCGGGATCTTGCGCGCCGTGCCGTTGAATTTATTGCGGAGGCGCGGAAATCGGATGCTCTTCGACACTTCGTCAGAACTGGCGAGATGACAGCGGGTGAAATGGATATCGGGGATGCCTACCGGCTTCTCCAAATTCCTGATCGTACCGTTGACGATGGAGCAATTATGGCGGCTTATACGATATGCGTCGATGAAGCCCCGGGACAAGCTGAGACGTACAATCAAGCCTTGCGCATAATTGCCAAAGACAAGAATAGCACGCTGCTGGGAAGTATGGTTTCTGATGATACAAAGCCGGACCGTAATATGTCGGAATGGCCCGTTGGATTGCAGAACATCGGCAACACATGCTACCTCAATAGTCTGCTACAATTCTATTTCTCTGTCCGCCCATACAGGGAGATGGTCTTGGATTTTGAGAGTTTCAAGATGGACTTGACTGATGAGAGCCTGAGCAAGAAACAGGTTGGATCACGCAAGGTCTCTAAGAAGGAGGTGGAACGTTCACAAAGGTGTAAGTGCGCTGTATTTCACTTGTATGACCGTAAAACTAACGCAGATTCTATGTAGTTCTCAGAGAGTTAAGGACACTTTTTTCAGACATGATTACTTCCCCATCCTCTCATGTCACACCGGGCCAGGAGTTGGCGCGGTTGACATTGATCAGTCCTTCTAACGAAGCAGCGATACGTCGTCGGTCTACAATCTCCGCGTACAGGCCCGCGGGTGCCCTAGGTGAAATCAACGGCATGCCGGTACTAGGACCTCTTGGGCCGCCGCAACCGATTCCGGAGAAGGAAGTGGAGAAAGAAGCGGAGGACCAGACGGCTACCGAAAGCGAGGGTGTCAAGCGCTCGACAGTTAGCGATGTCGATAGCGAGGCCACACTTGTCTCTGATGGTGTCAAGAATGACATTAAATCTCCTCCGATTGACGATAAAGAGAACGAACCTCCGGCTGATCTGGACTTGAAAGACGTGCAGGATGAGCCTAGTTCTGATTCCGCCGAACTAGGGTCCCCCGGCGATACAACACCCATAGACAATGTCGAACCTTCCAATCGACCACCGCCAGTGCCTCCGCGACCCACCCCGCAAGTCGACCCCCAGAAGCAGCTTATAGAAGAGGTAGAGATCGGAGCGCAGCAGGATGTGACGGAAGTTATCAACAACGTGCTTTTCCAGAGCCAATGTGCTATCCGGCCCATTGCTCATTCTCCGGAGGGCGAGCAAATTGATCAAGTGAAAGAGTAAGTCAGGAGCCTTCTGGGCACGAATATCCCATGACTGACTGCCTTGTCTATAGTCTGTTCTACGGCAGAACTCGATCTTATATTGCTTCAGAAAAAGGCGTGCGGTCCAAAGAAGAGTGGTGGTGTGACATTAAAATCGATGTTGCAACTGGCCCTCGTGACATTTATGCAGCTATTGACGGTGCCTTTGACGTACAGAAGGTGAATGTAGAGAACTCGGTGGCTGAGCAGTACGGTGCTATCAGCAAGCTCCCGCCAGTGCTTCAGATTCAGGTTCAGCGTGTCCAGTTTGACCCCACGACGAAGCGCTCATTCAAGTCCACTCACCATCTCGGATTGAAGGAGACGATTTATCTTGACCGATATATGGACTCGCAGCAACCGCAGTTCCTGGAGCGGCGACAGCAGTGTTGGCAATGGAAGAACTCGCTCAGAGAGCTTGAGGCGCGCCGTGCGGAGTTACTGCGTCAAGTGGTAGGTTGCGCCCGCATCGCTTGTTGTGGGCCCAGACATCTAATTCATAATATAGGATTCCGACGGCATGGATACGGCGGGTTTGCTCAACAGCGCTAAGGAAGTACTCGAAGACTTGGCAGCTATGAGAGAAGAGCCTGATTATGCAGAGGACGCGATCAATTTTGACACGCAAATAATCACCGAGGTTGATCAGCTTTCTCAGATAGCAAAGGCTGACTTGAACTGTGCGTCCGCGCTTCCCAAGTTTTGGCCTCTGGTATGCAGGCGCTAACTCGAAACAGATATCGAAAACCAAATCCAGGAGACCCAGAACAAGATCACCGCTCAGTTTGCTGACTACAAGTACCTGGCTTATCGCCTGTATGCCGTTTTCGTCCACCACGGATCGGTCTCCTTCGGCCACTACTACATTTACATCTTCGACTTTGAACGGAACGTCTGGAGGAAATACAATGACAACTATGTCACCGAAGTAAACGACCTGGATGAGATCTTCAAGGACGAGGGGCAGTCCAACCCGCCCACGCCATACTTCCTGGTATACGTCAACGACACGATGAAGGATCGGCTCGCCGACCCGGTCTGCAGGGAAATCCTGGAAGAATCCACGGCGAATGCCAATGAAGATGTGGACATGAATCCACCAGCGTACGACGAGATCTGGACAGACCAGGGCGGATCAGGTACGGTAGTCGATCACCCCATGACGGAGGCTAAAGACGATGCCAATGCAGGATCCGGCAAGACTGCCTGGGGTTGGCCACCGAAGACAAGCACTGACTTAGACCATGTAAAGTGGTAGGCTCAGAGGTCAAGCCGCCGGTCCGAGACTCGACGTTAAATCCACTCAAGCGCAAGGGCCTGGGCGACGATGGAGGCTAAATCCATACTAGGCCTAGACTTCTAGGTGACGCCTACAGTTCAGCTATAGAGGTAAATTGCAGGACTGGACATTATGACCGAGCAAAGACTTTAGAGCTGGATGATATGAGGCGGGGAAGACTGCGAGAATACAGGCTATTCTTGTAGTTATATTGATGTTCCGTTTGGTTTGTGCGGGCGTGTAACTTTTCTGACGATATCCTTTGTGCATGCGCTAGCGGAGATGTTGTCATGATTTCCTGTACATAGCAGGTGATGTCCTCTATCATGATATTTGATGATAATGTACCATGTCATTTTCTGCCTTGTATCCCTCAGATAAAAGGAACCTAATCTATCTATGCATGCTGCAGTGACAGTCAGTTTAGTCATGACTTCGGCGGCGGGTCCGAAGCGGGCCGCGGATCGGGATCGGAACGACAGTCGGCAGCACAAGTGGGGGAGAAGCTGCCCTGCAGGCTGAATGACCGTCGCATGTCTGTGCATGGGATTTGAGACCATTGCACCAGAAGACCTTCAAAGAAGTAACTGGATGAGAATTTACCGGTTGAGTAGAAAAATAAAGATCTACATTTCCATCATTGAGGTACACAAAATAGACTAACCCAAGGGGTCGGATCTCCTCAGTATATAGGTTATGTGTTGGCAGTACAAGTGCGGGGAGAATTCCGGGGAAGGCGGCATGGCGGCTGGCGTTCCGCAACTCCGCATGTGGCCGTCCTTATCCATTCCTCATATAACCTCCTCTTCTCCGCTTCCTTCACGTTCCTCTGATACCTTCATTCTTCCTTCTTATGTCTCGGGGGTGATTGTCAACTCTGGACCCTAACGGCTTTTGCGCAATTTGACTGCCAACTGTAACTATTGAAGTTACATACATATATACCTCTACTCGTGGTCCATCATGCCGTCACAAGTGGCGACATGTCTGCGCCTTGCGCGGCAGTTCTCTGCTGATCCCAGCAAGGTAAGGATCTTTGTGTCACCAAATGTGACTAAATTGGAAATGATAGTTCTGACATATGCATTTACTCCAGCACCAACGATTCCTTGCACGTGCTTTCTCTAGCAGCATTCGTCGACCTGAGATCAACAAGGTTGTGTCTTCCGCAGACATCGCAATCAAGGATATGAAGTCCAACTCGACATTATTGGCCGGTGGCTTTGGTCTCTCCGGTGTACCAGACACCCTGATCAGCGCGGTGCGCGCGAATCCCTCCATCACGGGATTGACAGTCGTCAGTAACAATGCTGGTGTCGACGGAGCAGGTCTCGGTCTCCTTCTCCAGTCTAAGCAAATCAAGAAGATGATTGCTAGTTATGTGGGAGAGAACAAGACCTTTGAGCGCATGTACCTGACCGGAGAGATCGAGCTCGAGTTGACACCTCAGGGTACCTTGGCGGAACGTTGTCGTGCCGGTGGTGCGGGCATCCCGGCTTTCTATACCCCTGCCGCCTGTGGTACCGTTGTGCAGACGGGCGAGTTGCCTCTAAAGCATAACTCTGATGGGACTGTCGCTCTCTACAGTGAGCCTAGGGATGTCAAGGTCTTCGATAAGAAGAGCTACGTCATGGAGGAAGCGATCAAGGGTGACTATGCGTTTGTCAAGGCCTGGAAGGCCGATAAGCTGGGTAACTGCCAGTTCCGCTATGCTGCGGCTAACTTTAATGGCGCAATGGGCCGCAATGCGAAGATGACGATCGTCGAGGCTGAGCATATTGTTGAACCGGGCGAGATTGAGCCCGCTGCTATTCATCTGCCGGGTATCTATGTCAAGCGGGTGATTCAGAGCACAGCCCCCAAGAACATCGAAAAGTATACCTTTGCCAAGGAAGAGGGTGAGGAGGCGGCTGCCCTGGGCAAGGGTGATACTGCTGCTAAGCGCGAGCGCATCGTTCGTCGTGCGGCGAAGGAGTTCAAGAACGGGATGTATGCGAACTTGGGTATTGGCATGCCCATGCTGGCGCCTAACTTTGTCGATCCCTCTGTAGAGGTCATGCTGCAGTCTGAGAACGGCATCCTGGGTCTGGGTCCGTACCCTCAGAAGGGACAGGAGGATGCCGATCTCATCAACGCTGGCAAGGAGACGGTCACGCTGTTGCCTGGAGCTGCTTGCTTCGGGAGCGAGGAGTCCTTCGGTATGATCCGTTCGGGACGGATCGATCTGACTATTTTGGGTGCTATGCAAGTCAGTGCCCGAGGTGATTTGGCAAACTGTAAGTGGTCCTTGTATAATTGTTTTTTTGGGTGTCTGGTTGACAATGTTTGTTAGGGATGCTGCCTGGCAAGATCAAGGGCTTCGGTGGAGCTATGGACCTCGTATCGAACCCCTCCGCCACCAAGGTGGTGGTAACCATGGAGCACACGGATAAGAAGGGCGGTCCGAAGATCGTGAAGCAGTGCGAATTCCCCTTGACCGGAAAGACGTGCGTCAGCCGGATCATCACCGAGCTCTGCGTGTTCGACGTTGACTTTACGGATGGACTGACGCTGGTTGAGCTGGCCGATGGAGTCACCGTAGATGAGGTGCGGAGCAAGACGGAGGCACCATTCAAGGTGGCTGATGATGTCAAGCCGATGCTGTAGATCTGATTGACATGATGATCCTCACTGCAAATATGTATAACTCGGCGTTGTCAATTGACAACTAACCTGAATCCCTAAACACACCATATATACCACGCTGTATCCAAAATAATGCCATTGAACAGATACCAATTTCTTCACCCAAAGATTACACTATATATACAAGGTCGTAAAGTACAGAACCCGAACCAGAACCAGAGCCACTTTTTATAATCCCTTCTTCACCCATACCATCCCATAGTACTAATACAACACAACACCATAGAAAATGGCCACTACCACCACTCCCCTCCTCTCCCCCAATATCCCCCAATATCCCCAAAGACAAACCAACTACCTCAACCTTAACAATCCACCCAACCTCTTCTTCAACCTTCCCATCCAGTCCCGGTCCGGCGCCTCATCAAACTCCCGAATCACATTATCGTAATGATCCGGGTTACTCGCCGGCCTGCGCAATCTCGGCGACAGAGGGTAGCGTCTTGCGTAGCGGTCTTCGAGGAGGGAGGAGAGAGCGTTGATGGATTTCTCGTCGATGTTGACTTTCTGTGATTGGCCTTCTTGTTGGGGCTGTTTCTGAGAGGTGGGTTCGGTGGATGAGGGTTGGAGGCAGGCTTGGAGGTAGTTCTGGACGGAGACGGAGGATGGGCGCACTTTGTCGGTTGGCCAGTGTTTGAGGAGGGTGGTGATTCGTTGCTGTGGTTGGTGTTTAGTTAGCTGGGATGCAAAAGAAGAGGGTTTGATGAGGGTTTAGGTTGGGGTGGCGAGGGTAGACATACTGTGTTGGATGCCATGGTGGGATATCTGTGTGTGTGAGGTTCGTGTGATTGTAGTGTGAGTGATAGAGGCGAGGGTATTGTGAATGAGAAAAGCGCTGGAGAGATACTGTTCGAAATCTATCTAGATGTCTGTAGATGCTCGAAAAACAGCGGAATTGCCTGAGGCGGCAAGGCGGTCACGGGCGCGGCAATCCGGAGGCGGCAATCCGGCTCAGCCACCGCATGCTGATTGATGCTGCTGATGCTGCTGCCTTATTGCCTGACCTGGACTTCTCTCTCTCTCCTCTCGTCATCTCCAGCTGATCGTCTCCTTCCCATCTCCTTTGAATCTCCCCCCTCAAAGTCCCATCCACGTTCTTTGCGCCTCCTTTTATTGCCCCTCTTCTAATACCTACTTTCGACGCCGTTGATTTCTTTTGTTTCGTCCCCACCGTCCTTTACTCCGCTCTTTCCCGGTTTCCCGCTCGCTCAGCTCGTCATGAGCTCGCAGCGTTATCAACGGGTATGAGGCACCCACGTTCTTGATAGAAGCCGTCGGGTTCGGCATTTGGATGTCAGAAAAACAAAGTACTGATCTTTCTGCTTAGGTCAACGCCCGTGATGAAGACGATGATGATACCCCCCAGTCACACTCCTCTATCCCTCTCCGACCGACACCTTCCTCCCCGCCTCCCTCATTTCACTCTCGTTCCTCCTCACCATCGTCGAGACGCCTCCTCCACGACGATCCCCACAGAGACCATGCAGACCAAACCCTGGCAGATGCGTTCGGTGATGGCAGCGATTCCGAGTCCGATGAAGAGCCCGACGATCGTCAGCGCTTAATGCGGGCTCAGCCAGATTCCCGCCCGGTGGCGGACACCAGCAGCGCCGCTGCGGCTGCGTCTTCTTCTTCAAGCGGTTCAGAGCAACAGTCTGGCGATTCGCGCATCGGTGGAAGCCTTCCTCGACGGCAAACGATCCTGCCGTCTTTCAGTACCCCCAGTTCGGGGGCCAGCCGGGTGATCAGTTCGTCGAATGATGGAGTCTTTGCTAATCTGGCGGCTAAGCCGGAGCGCGGGGAAAAGAATGAGGATTTGCCTCCGGTAGGTTGATTCCTTGTGGAATTTGCGATGGGATAATGGTTGCTGATGATGTGCTGTTTTATAGTCCTACGAGGAGGCCGCCGCAGATGCTACACCGCCGTATTGGGAGACGACAATTCTCGCACCAGGTATCTCTTCGGACGAAGTGTTTGTGGATGGATTGCCGGTTGGATCGATTTTCTCGTTTGTCTGGAATGCCATGATCTCCATGTCGTTCCAGTTGGTTGGATTCCTCTTGACCTACTTGCTTCACACAACGCACGCAGCCAAAAACGGTAGCCGGGCTGGTCTCGGCCTCACGCTGGTGCAATATGGTTTCTACATGAAGGGTGGCAGTGAGTCGAAGGGATCGGATGAAGGAGGCGCCGATTACGTGACACCACCGGACCCGAACAGTCATAACTTCGATCCGAATAATGTCGATGGTGGTGCGGGTGGTGATGGCGGAGGCGGTGCCGTGTCCTCTATCACCACGAGCGAATGGATTTCATACGTCTTGATGATTGTCGGGTGGTTCATTCTGATTCGAGCTATCAGCGATTTCCTGCGGGCACGCCGTCACGAGCAGCTGGTGTTACAGAGTCCTGAGCGTGGGCTTAGCGTTCCTGTCATTGCAGAGGGCGAGCGATCGGAGACGGTTGTTTAGGGAATATGGGAATCTTGGTCTGGTCTGGGTACAGTTCACTTGGGAGCATTCGGAGTTCATTTTCCTTCCTTTGCACGTTTTCGTTATTCTTATAATCGGCCCTACGATCCAGTTGTAGGATGGATGGGAGCCTGCAGAGCATTGGTAGCCTATCGTTGACCGGGTTCATCTTTTCGTTATTTCCTTTCTTTTTCTTTTTCTCCTACCATTTACACATCATGGTCGGTTCCAGCTATTGCACGAGTTACCGGGCCTGTAGTCTAGAATACCTTATTATCTTGTTTGCGAGATACCTTTGGCAAGTGAATCCAAGTGGAAACAATTCGACTTCTATCTCTTTAACTCCTTATTGTTCTGTACGACTTTTCCTAGTGGTAAACAGTGAGACATTCGGGCCAATTGGGAGTTGCCTCGTTCCGATTTGCCTTCAGCAGGCAGCCTTATTTTCGGGACCCTTGAATGGAAGCATCGCCGCTGAAGATCGTCCGCCCTGCGACTGGGGATGTTCCCCGTCGCCCCGGTGTGCCAGTTTCTCAATAAGTCCTCTCAGACTATTGTTCTGCTTGAGCTTGCTGCCCGATGCTGATCGTCTTGGCGGTCTCTCCGGTTTCTCCGCGTTGATCTTCTTGTCTTCCGCTCTCCTTCTTCCCCTTCCTTTCTTGTCTTTCCCCTTTCTATTATCACAAGTGGTTACCTCTCGCTCTTCTTCTCCTCATGTTCATTTTCATTTTATATCCAGTCAAATTCACCTCTCCGTGACATCTCCCCCGCCTCTCTCTCCATGACCAAGGTTGACGCCGCGGGGGATGGGGATTCCGCCCCGATGGCCGCCTCGCCGCCGAGTCTCCCCAAAGCCCCCGTCGAGGCTCGCTCGCTGTCCTCCATCACCGCAATTGCCTCCAATCCCCCTGCCTATCCGCGCAATCCTGCTCAGAAGAAGTTGGATCCGTTAGTGCTGTATATTGTGCGGGTCCCAGGCAGTCGAGGTATGTCGCTTACCTGCCATTCCGATCGCTCAGGAATGCCCCGCAGAAGCGGTGGCACCAAACATGCATATGATAGATCAACTGACCCTTGTTTTCTTCCGTTCTCTAGATGTCTTCCTTACCCCCTTGAAACCTGCTACCAAGTCCAGCGTCTCGGCCGAAGCCATCAATTCCTCTCTATATTATTTGCACGTCGCCACGCCCGAGGATGACGTCCTGTTACAGGAATACGAGCAGGAACGCGAAGAGGAGGCTAGGCTGCGGAAAGAAGCCCTTGGAGACGAGGCGGAGGCTCCTCTCCCTTCGCGCGAGTTTGCGCGATTGAACAATGTCCGGCGCAAGCCTGTTCCTGGCGCGGGCGCACCCAAGGTCGATGCGACCGCTCCTCCTCCTCCTGCGCGCCCTCGCCCAACTTCCTGGCAGTCGCAGGGAGCGCCGTCGCCGTTGAATCCAGATCTGCAGCGCCCTGCCCTGCCTCCCCGTCCGAGTTTCCAGGGCCCTGCTCATGCGAACGATTACAACCCTGTCACCCCGCCTTTTGCGCCGGTCCATCGCGACCCCGTCCTCGAGTCCGCGCCGCTTGACGATCCCATGGCTGCGCGCCCTTCGCGGCCACTGCCTGCTGTTCCGAGAGAAGAGCCCGTTCTGGGACCGCCTCTAGACCCGCTGCCAGCGAAAAGAGCCAACCGGTGGAGCACTGCGCTGTCGGGGTACCTGGCAAAGGGCCAGGAAACGTGGAAGGAGAAATATGATGCCATGTCTGGAGGTCGGGCAAGTCTGGATTCAAGACGACCTCCCGTTAGACCGCATTCTGCTCATGGAAGTCCATCGCATTCGTTTCTGGGGTCACCGTCGAGAAGCCCAGCGAGGAGTCCTGCCAGAAGTCCGGGCCAGTCCCCTCGCCAGAGGCCGCATGACAGAGTGGTGCCTGATCGTCCGGGATTCCATATCACCTTGATTCGTCGCGATCCTACGCATGGCAGTCAGTGGAATGTTGCGACCATGTCAACGCCCCGGATGGATGGTGGGCCTATCGACATCGATATCCTTACCCCGGGGTATAATCGATTCACGGCGCAGAACGAGCCGCTCTCCCTTGCGAGTCTGGGGATAAACCTCCCAGGCGGCCAATCCATCTCGTTCTCGTCGTCCAAACACCCGTTGGCTGATTTGGCCGACCTTCCACCTCCTACTTCCATTCCCAATGAGCCATCTCAGCCTCGACGATTCCACCGCAAGCTCTGCGTCTCAAGACCATACTTCCAAGAGGAGTCGCGAGGCTCCTTGGACCTCCCGGGTCGTCCGTCCCTGGACAGCACTGCCAGTGGCAGTCCCACGAAACCGCATGCCCCTCCTCACTCCAAGCTGAAGAGCGGTTATTACACCTTCAACTCACCTTGGAATGGCATCTGCACGTTTACAACGAGCGTCAACGGCCGCAGCCTTAAATGCAAACACATGATACCCACCCCTGGCTTCCCCAACGCCAGCAGCCACCATCACCACCCGACCTCCACCCCTGAACCCCCTGCCATCACTGTCGCCGAGATCCGCTTCAACACGCCCTTTCGAACCGGCCATCTTCACCAGCCCACTCCCACATACGCACCCTATCATCCTACCTCGCCCCCAACGGATTCCTACCTCTCCTCTCCGCAAACTCCTACCTCCGCAAACCCTTCCTCGAAACGTGACTCTCTCGCCCGCCTCCTCAACCCGAACAAGTATACGCGACCTCGCGCTCGCTCCGGGGCCAGTATTACCTCCATCGGCGACAACATCGGCCCTAGCCACCACACACGGAACCCCTCGAATAGCAGCACGAGCAGCGGGGCCGGAGATCTCGAAGAGCGCGAGAAATCAGGGCTTTTGCGCCGGCCACCGAGTGAGGACCGTCTGGATCTTTCTCTTGCACGGGAGCGCGCAGGCGGAGGGTTACGGGGGAAGTCTGCGAAATTGGGTAAGCTGATTATCGAAGATGAGGGTATCAAGATGTTGGATCTGGTTGTTGCTGCTTGTATGTCTGTTTATGCAGTGAGTTGCTAGACATTGGTTTGACTGCATATGGCATGATTAATCTTTTGGTTATATCCTGGGATATGTTCGAGTTGTGATTGTGATATGATATGATATACTATTGATGTTTTGGGGCATTTGAGCGATATGCATTTGATGATATGTAACTGCAATTGATATACTGATATACCTTGAATATGAAGCTGAAGCTGAAGCTGCTACAGCACTATCCTCTGATAGACATCAGGAGACTCACAGTAGCATAATGATAGTACCTACCCTCCCCTCCCCCTGAGAAAGACCACTACCTCCCAAGCTAGTAGCTACTACGTAGCTAGTAAACCACCCATCCCACTCCCACATTCCCAATTACTAAACACTTACAAAATAGAATCATCTACACCACCACCACCACCCCTCGCAAACCCACCACCGATCAGGTAACCACATTACCATCTCATTCTCCCCAATTCCATATCCCTGCCTGCCCAACACAAAGTAAAAAACCCCTCACCAAATACCCATAACCCTCCAATCAAACCCCACGCAAAATAAGCAGAGAAGCTAGGCTAGCTAGCAAGCACGTCTCAGAATACGAACTTTCCCCCCATATCTCCAACCCACTCATGTACTTCTCCTTATAGTATGCACCAATCAGACCATCTCCATTAGTTGAAACAAGCAATGTCCGATAAAAAAAAAAGCAAATGTCAACTCCGAATGCAATGCCGAGCTCAGCCCCAGCCCCAGCCCCAGCCGGTGAAGGTAAGTGAAGCAGTCAATCACGATAGAGTATTAAATGGCCCATTTTCGGACTGACTCTCCTGTCTAGGTAAGTATGCACGGAGTATACTCCGCTTTTGTTTGTAATTAGGTGGATTGGATTGGATGGGATGTTCAGCTGATGAGCAAGTACTAGACTAGTAGCACATGGATAGGATAGCATGATGTGTGTGAGATGAGATGAGAGGGTGTAGATCCACCCACTTACTTTGCAGAGAATCTGCAGGTTTAGTTTCGACTTAGTTGGGGGTTTGGGCCAGTTATGTTTCCTGGGATTTGGGATGACCGTGCAGGAGGGGTTATTAGGTGGGATGTTATTGGTTAGTGGTGTTGAATGCTGGGCTACTGGGTACTTAGGGATGAGGGGATGGATGGATCATGATGCAGGTTAGGTACATATGTACGAGTATGGAGTAAGTACTTGGGATGGGATCACCGGGTTTTAGTGGGGTTTTTGTTGGGTCAGTTGGGTTGGGGTCGTGTTCTGCTTGTCGGTCTGGCTGTCTTGTGAGTCATTGTGCTTTGTGAGGATCTTGAGGGGTTTATTGTGTGTGTATGTCTAATAGTATTCTTGTAGCTGGATATCAGTAGGTATGGGTATAGGTATAGTGTACAAAGTACATCTAAACTATGAACAGTGCATACATAGCATATAAATCTATGTAAATGGAATAATACTAACATTCAGAAATAGTAGCAAACAAAGCAAATTAGTGTTGATGATTAGCGTCAACCACATGCAAATAATTCCCCCCTCCACCCCCTATGACATAATAAAATCCATTGTCTAGCATCCCACGAGACACTAAAAAACTAAAAATCAAAGGTTAGCGCGCCAGTGAGAAAAATCCTCGGTCATGGCGAATAATAAATATCGAGAGATGAAAAGGGTATGGTGGTCCGATGATCATTACGCCTTGGCGTGTATTGGAGAGTTTAGTTACGGTATTGTTTGGGAATTACTGGTTTTGTTTACGGGTTTGTGAACGGGTTAGATACGTATGTTTGGGAGGGTGACTGGGTGTATTTGGGGAGTGGTTTTGCAAATGGAATGGAAGTATGCTTTCTTTTTTGATTATAGGGTAGCTGCTGGTGTCTCTGAGGGGTGTTTAGGAGCGTATGTAATCTGTAGGTTAGGTGGTGGTGGGTGAAGGGCATCTCATGGGTGATTCATCGTTAAGAATCTCTGTATGCACACGATGTATAGCGGCCAAG